CACATCTGGTTCGCCGTAACCCAAGTTATATCCTGCATTTGGAAATCCTCCGACATTAGATGATCAAAGACATTACCCACAATTTTATATAGTTTACGTTTCTTCTTTACGACAGCAGCTGCCACTTTGACTTCCGCCTCAGCTTCATCACCAGTTGGAGCAAACACAACACTTGTGGCGCCAACAATTTCTTTTTGCGGTACATTTTCATCTGTTTCTTCGTCCTCTTCGACTGATTCGAGATCTTGAAAACGATATAAGTCGAAAAAATCTGCTAAGTCTTTCTGCACTTTGCTTAATGAATAGTTCTCGAATGCGTTGTTCGCAAAAATTGCACGAACTTTTGTGCTAATCTTTAACGAATTTTGTGCAATCAAATTCATAATCCAATCACGTATGCGACTCTTATCAAGGATGCTTTCCATTAGTGAATTGTGCTCAATTTCGCAGACTTTACGCGCCTCCGCATTCAGCTGATTTAACCAGGCGTAGTTAAGGCAAAATTTCCTATAAATACCTTGAGTTTTACCCGTTACTGCGATGTCGTAGTCAATGAGAGCACGCACCTCCTCCTCCAATTGAGCCAGACGTCGGTCAATATTAGCGCGCCGTTCATAATTATCTTTCGAAATCAACTGCTTAGTAAACGATGCCGTTGAAGGTGTTTCAACCTCCTGCTCTAACTCGAGCTCGACTGGTGCTTCGAGTAATTCAGTGTTCTCGCGTAGGTTATCGGCAAGCGGTGGGAGGCGAGAAATCTTCAAACAACCAGATTCCAGTAAAACTGCTAGATATCTGAAAAAAGTTATGTAAATAGGTTCTGTGTTTATGGTATACGGCAGAGTATATTAAGTCACACTAAAAAGTTGATATTGAGGTCTTTAAGTGACCCTGAATTTCATAAAGATCCCAGACATATGTATGCAGCAATTGCACAATAAGGAAGTAAACTTTGAAAAAGAGACCCAATATTTTCCCGGACAGCCGGTGTTATCATAAGATTAAAGATCAGCAGCTTATGAAATTATGAGACTTATTAGTTCGAAGATTGATGAGAACCCAATTTCAACTAGCAATTTGCAAGTTCAACTAACCATCTTAAATATAAAAATTTTACTCACTTGCTGTTATAGATTTCTTTTATGTGCCTTATGAGACGCTGCGAATAGCTTGAATACAGTTTCCGACACACCACATATGGCTTTGAGGTACGCTTATGATGACGAAAGTGAATCATTAGGGTGCTAACATCATAAGTAATTATATGATTTGAACCCGCCACGCCAGAGACATATGCCACATGCAACGTATTTAAAGTGCGCATTAAGATCACTTTTTCCATATGCTGTATGAAATAAATATCTAGCGAGAAACTGTCTACCGGTAAAGCAATAAGTTCCACATGATCCTTATGAGAGACGTCCAACAACGTGATGCTTCGATATTTCTTCTGTAAGTTATACATGCGTCGATTGACAACACGCTTCTCTGAGAGCCATGAGGATATCCACAATTCATCTGCATATGGAATATCAGTTTCTTTGATTTCATCTTGCGATAAAAATGACAGGGCATGATCCTGATCGATCAAGAAGAAGTGCAGCATGCGTTTGTGCGAGCGACTGAGTAACGGCACTACGATGAGAAAACGTTCGGACTTGAAATCCACAACCATTTCTTTATACTCGTTCTTCATGGTTTTGATTAAACCGGTTTGATTTGCTAAATATATCTCTGATATGCCATATTTATCGACCTCCGTAATGTGTAGAATAGTGGGCGCACGTATCTTCTCGAACGACAAAAAGTACACCTTACCATCTGTAGTGCCGGCGGCAGCAAATGGCGAGGAATTGTGCGTGGCAATGCAGGAACCGTTCGGTATTTGCAAGGACGAATATTTGATGTTGTGGCTTATTTCGAATGCGCACAGCATATTGCCACGTGTAAGTACGAGTAAGTTCTCTTCCTTCAGCCCACGCAATATGGTAAAGTCTTCCACCGTATAGTTCGAGACGGAAAAGTCGATAAGCTTGCTATAGTACTCGCTCGCCTGCAGTTGATACAGTGAGCCCACATCGTCGGTAACGTAAGCTTCGCCGGCAAAGTTCGAAACAATTTTCACAATCGGCACACGAATATCTTTCAATACCCATTCCACAGCCCAGTTGTTACGTTTGTGAGTTATCAATGTCGCACTGTTGGCGTTGGACACTATAAGACCCTGCTTGTGCGGAAATAAACAGTGTGGTTGTGGTTGTTCATGGTGTGAGAATGTGGTGCCCCACTGACGTGACAAGTAGAATTGTGCTACTTCTATCTGTAAATAAAAATAATAATTGATATGATAATTTAACTAGTAAATAATTGCATCCATAACTTACACTGAACACAACACCGAAATCATTCACCACATACATCACATCGTTTTGCGAACACATTGCGAATTGTGTACTTAACAAATGCGATTTCGGCAATTGGACTCGTGATATCTCATGCAGTACCATCGCCTCAGCGGTATAATGCATTTCCCAGAAGACTATCGCCTTTTCGAACTTTGAGAATTGCATGATCAGAGGCCAAGTGCGGCTAGAACAGTGCAATGAGTGCACTGAGCATTTAATACCAGTAGCGACCTCTACCAATAAATTACCGGTACGACAATTCCAAATACGAAATGAATAGTCCGGGAATCCACTTAGAGCGATAAGCATATCATAGTTGGAGAAAAGCATGTCCACATAGCTGACGACGTTGTTACCTAATAATAATTTGTAAAAGAAAAATATTTTATAAAAAATTTTAGATATTTCAGAAAGGAGCGTTAAATAAAAATTAAACAATCCTTGGAACTCAGCAAGTCGCATATAATACTAGAGTCATCATCAGCCGTGGATAATCTCTTTTCTTAGTCTGTAATATAGTTTAATGACTGAAGGATTCATCGAATATTACAAAGGTTTTTAGGTTTCTAGACCTTTTTTAATCTATTTAACATATATTTTTCTATTTATAAAAAAATGCTGACATTTACGAAAGGTGAAAACCAGCAAAAATTGGCACAACCACAAATGGCTAACTCCACTGTTTCGACCAATATTTATTCTCTAAGTTACTGTGAATGATAAACACTAAGACCGATTCCTGTATCTTCAGTTCAGTCGGAAATCAACTTTCCGAAATGAGAGCATTTACTTTCATAATACCTCAAAGGATATTTTGGCATATTCATGCACCAGGAAGGTAAATGAGCCCGATAAAAAGCGCGCGTTCAAAGAGTATGAGCGAGAGAGACCCGAGTTTTAGGGTCGAAGCTCTAAATAATTTCAACTAATTATTGCCACCACTACGGCGAAGTCGGCAGTTAAACTCGAAGCGGGCTCTTTTTCAACAAGTTTAGATGGTTATAGACTCAAAAAACGTGAGAGTGTATTAATATGTAATATATGGTATGCCTAAATACTTCATACATACAACGTAATTGTAACAGTTTGTGCATATCCGGATAGCGAACAATGTGTATGGTTGGCCGCATAACCGTCTCCGAATATGCGAACATCGGCAGCGAGAAGTGTCCAGCGAGATTACGTGCACCCAATCCCACGCCCGGATTATCAATGGTGTAGTACAATTTGTTTCGTGTCTTCAAGTCGGTGAAATGTATTGTATGATCGTGAAGCGTCGCCAAAGCCTCCATGCCAATGCTGATTAGCGAATATGGCGAGGAGTACGTTGCCCTTAAGCTAGGATGGAAATGCCGTAAGTATTTAGTTGCATAAAAATAAAATATAAAACATAAGTTATTTATTAAATTACCAAGATTCCCATGCTTCCGAGCTGGACATTTGATTGTGTTTTATTAAAAATTATTTAATATTTCAGCAAAAAAAGAAATTATTTTTTGATTTATTGAAAATTATTATATATTTAAGAAAAAAAGTTTTTTTTGTAGTATTGAAAAATGGAAAATCTTTCTTCACGCATTGAGTTGCTGAACAAACTAATAGACTCGAAATTGGTTTGAATCATGAATGTTTATATGGAAACGAAAAATAACTAAATAAAGCAAATCAAAAGACGCTATAGTTGCCAAGTAATTTCATTTGTTTACCTAGAAATTAGTTATTCGACTTTCGGCGACAGCGACTGCACAGTTGCTTTGTTTCCGATCCACTTAGTTTGTGGCTTCTAATACACTTTTGAAGAGTTTCACAAGTTTTGAGACGTTTTATGCTAGGTGATATATTTTTATGATAAAAATCATGAAATAAGTAAGCTTTTAAGTTCGAAAGTGTCTGCTGAGCGATGAAACTATCAAAAATGTTCTAATATTTTTAATTGTATTTACAAACTTCAGGCCGAATTCTAAAAAAAGCGTTATCTTATACTTCCATTAAATACTTTCTTCAAGACTTTCAGAGACAAATATATATCAGATAAGGCTAAATATATGAGTTCTTGCCATAAAATATTAACTATTTTCTCGGACTCTCTCTCTGGAATGATACTCTGGTGTCCTAAGTGATGTAAAAAACTTTTTCATTTGCCATTACCACAGGGTGGTATTTTAAAAAAAATATTTCTGTGACAATATATTAAAATAGCTTAAGTCAACTTCAAATATTTGGTTTAATTTGAATTACTAGCATCAACTTCTTCGAAATTTGAAGTTGAGTCGTATGTTAAGCCATACATTAAAATCGAATACTTCTAATTCAAAAAGAAAAAAGAGAGTTGGAGCATAAGATCATGTGTTTGCAAGAAATCAAAAAACACCCGGTAACTTAATTTGACTTACGCTTTTTTTCTAAATGTTGTCACAGGGTCAATATTGGGTAAATATTTCAGGTTGGTATAGAATCCATATACACTTAAATACTTATCTTCATCTTTATACCCACCAGTTCTTTTTACAAAAGAGAGGAGTAAACTTATCTCTACAAAGTCACCAAAACTCTCAAATAGTACAAATCTTCTTCTTCAAATTAGTGAATACACAATTTTTGCGTAGAACGATGCACAGGATACTGAAATTTTATTCAAGCTGCTCACGTGATTTAATTATGCATACCAAGCCACAGATCTAAACTACGTTTACATATATATGAGTAACGATAATTCCTTTTTTATTTATTTATTATTTTCTTTAAATTTTTTGTATTTTTATATATATTTATTTATACGTATATTCGTAAACATCATTTGAGTTCTTAGCAAAGTTGATTCATATCCATGAAATATTGATGACAAATTGTAACTTTTAATATCAATAAAATTAAATGTTGTGTAATAAGCAATAAGCAATAAGTATATGTATAGTATAGTATAAAGTGTAACGTGTATGGTATAATGCGTACATATCTATTGGAGAAGATGCATAAGCATTTAATTGAGATCTTTCCGCAATATGCCATTTGAAACACCGTTATACATAATTATATAGAGTGAATAAATTTGTTTGAGTAAATATGTAATAGAGTTGAATATATATGTAATTATATAAGCAGTATTATATGTAATTGTCACTGCATTTGTGACTTTTGTCTCATTTTAAGTATTGATTATTATTCTGCATACTTTTCAAACAAATTTTTTAGTAGACATTTATATAAGCCAGCATTTAGGCGCCTTTAAGTATATATTAGTATGTGTAGTATATGTATATTATGTAATATATTTTCATATGTATATTGTGGTAGCTCATATCGCCGTCGCCCAAATCGTCTCATTTAACCAACAAATATTTTTTGTTGCTTTCACTATTCTAAAGAACTCTTGCAGACGTTGCTCACGTCTGCAGACGCCTTTAATATCCACGTCTTTATATTTTGTTTTCGGTTTTTGCATATCTACACCAATAGTATTATTAATTCTAAACCCTTCTGTTATTTGCTCAACACCTTGTTGTTGCTGCTCCGCATCGTTGATCTGCGCCAAATGATGTTCGATTATTTGATCAACATAAATAAAATCGCTCGATTCATTCAACGGCTCGTTTGTTTGTATTTTACGTTGAATTTCGTTGCGATAGTAGTCGTTAATCAGTGAGAGCATACCTCTGGTGTACCAATAGATAATGCCCATGAGGAGCACACCCTGCATGAAGGGTCCGACCATTTTGAAACTTATTATACGTCAATATGTAATTAATATGCAATAAATATATAATATATGGTACGTTGATAAACAGAAACAGTATTCTTTTTTCTTCACTTTTGATTTCTTATAGCATTTGTGGTTATAATATTATATATATGTATGCTTTGTTTATTTGTATTTTAATTAATTTTTATATTTTAATTCGCTTGAATATTTTTTGTTGTCTTACATAAATTACTGCGCCACTTGGAAGGACTCCAGCCATTCTCGCAACATGTAGTAATGCTCTTTAAAATTCGGCCAAGCCATTGTAATAATCAGCATGATGGAATTGGCGAAAACAAAGAGCTTCATTATTTCCACGGCTAAAAAGAAAAAAAAAATAAAATGAAAACAATTATTCATACATTTGTTACTTTCATAATTATCGTAATTAATGTGAGCAATAAAATCATTTTGAAACATTCTCTACCACTTTTTATTAACGGCTGTAGAGATCATCTAAACACATAATCATAATCATGTTCGATTCGCTATTTCTCTACCCGCCGTATATGTGCTCAGCTCTCCTGCTAAAAACTGTATATATGAAAGCAATAATAAAGCTATCCAGCTCAATTCAAAACAAAAGAGTTTGTGAATACAAATGTTTAACTTTTGGGTCTACTTATCTTTTTAAATTGCTTTATAAATAAATGGTTAGCTTAAGAACATTTCCAAGCTAAGAATTTGAATAAAAGTCAATAAGAATATTCCTGAACATATGGCTCTCCTACTATCGTTTACTTAGGGCTTTTCTTTTTTAACGATTTGTCAGAAAATATTGATATTGATGCCACGAAACCCCTTAATTTTTTACTAATTATCAAATATGGTAGTACCCAGAGTCATGTAATATGTATTTAAATAAACTCAAAATTAAACGAGGTATTTTGCTTTTCCACCATAATTCGATAGAATGTATAATATATTAGGCACAACTGAAATATCTCAACAAAACTTAAATAAAGCTTATACCATCTGGTCTATAACCCTCACGTCATGTCTTATATACTCTTTTTTCGATTTTATATAATATTTTTTTTTCAATTTGAGGTCGCACTTAAACTTTGATGAAAAGTATAAAAAAGTAGTTTACCTTCCGGCGAACGCAAGTAATCGCCAAAACCGGAGTTCAGATCCTTCTCCGAGTGCAACTCCTTGGCCTTGTCTGCCTTGAGCTTCTCGTCCACTTTGGCGTCGGCTTCTTCCTGCTTGCCCGCATTATTGCGAAAACTGTTTCGCGATTTGCCATAACCCGACGAGGAGTTGGCAAATGCGCCTTTCTTAGGCTTCATTTCGAAAGTACTTCTTTCACTTGCCACTTGCCACTGGCCACGGATCACTGGCTGCTAACAGAAAAAAAATGTAATTCAATCAACAATTTCGCAGCCTGTGCAGGCCACAAATTGTTGCGAAAAAGTTCCGACCTCGACGCTTAGTGGTAACCAACTAAATTCTAAATTGTATTATGCTACATTGACATGAGAACTTGCGCCGAGTCGCGGAATTTTGGGTCACTTGTACACACACACACACATACACACGGGGACATGTCTATGGCTTCCGAGTTGATTTTATTGATTACCTGTTACTAAATCTTTTCAAACAGTAGAAAGTGAAAAGCAAATCAAGAAATAATCTTATCATATACCTACAAAGAAGTATAGGTATGTGGGTAATCGGTCAGTCGCAAGCGAAGGCGAATCATATGATAAGAGGGTGTCATTATTACTCATTACCAAGTGTCATTAGTTGCATTGACAGTTGGTAGAATTATGATATTTCACAGAGAGTAGGGTCAAAACTTCGTCGATTATGTCATACTTGAAGCCATCTCGTGTAAACATTACATCATCCATCAATATGGCATGCTGTTGACAATCCTTGGTGGAATAAAAATCCAGATCCGCTCCGGTTACGTTGACCCGACTGTCGTTGGAATTTCTTGTTGTATTCTAAGGCTATTAAGCGGATCCTCAACAAACGTGACTCTGACCCTTATTGAATGTCCATAAATTCGGATAGGAGAGCTAATCTGCCTCATTAGTTTATAACGACATCCGATATATACACTGCATTTTCTAAACTTCATGGTCATGAAGTGGATTTGGCCGAAAGGCAGTAGGAATATTTTACTAAGAATATTCATGAACACTTCGCTTCTGTATCTACTTAGTAGGATAGGCTGGTACACTATTGTTTCGATCTATAAAGTGTCATATAGATTAAGCGAAATATTATAAGTTTTAAGAGAAAATTATAATAATATATATAAAGTGTCTAACCGTTTAGCATAGACTCTGGAAAGCACGCTTGTCAACCAAACAGCAAGTTTTCTTTAAAAATTGCAGAAATAGCTGTTATGCATATTATTGTTCTAACAGCTCACGAGGCAAGACTATGAAACTTCAATCGTTTTGGGTTAGGTTATGTTTGACTATTTATAGTTATATGAATGCATTCACCTTTGTTCATATAAACCACTAGATACGACAGCTCTGCGAGCTAGTAATATATAATTTGATAAGATAGTAAGTTCGACAAAAACACATGTTCCACAAAAGTTATTTTTCATAATATTATACCTGCATTAAATGCATTTTAATTTTTTTATTTGCATAATTTTTAAAGAGTATGTTAGTAATACAGCTGCAAAATTGTTCATGCAAAATGAAATTGCAAGACAATATACAATACTTTGCTGACTAACATTTTGCCGTTGCGTTTGACTTTTCCTCTTACAAACATAGAATATATTTTATTGTTATACATGTACTGCAGTATACAGAGCCAAATCTAGAAACTACACATTAGTATGATTTTGCTTTTTGCGCTCAATTATGTAATGTTATATTTAATTGTGTTGTATTGTGTATAGTCGTCACATTTATTGCATGCATACATTTATACCATACATGGTATATTGTATAATAAATATTCTCCTTAAAATAATATTTCAAATATACCACTTCTCAAAGCAGTCCACTCATATAAGATATGAGAAGAGCCGCAGGCGCACCAGTGCATACAATTTTGCCAATGGCAACAACTACAACACAATGTCGAGGACATTGCAAATGCAAATGCTTACAAAAACACCAAAAACAAAACAATATTCCTGCTATGCAATTGCGCGCTGCAGAAGCATACAATACATTTTGAGGTTATGATTTCAATTACCATACTATACAATTACATTTGAACCAACATAGACGTCTATGCAGACATACATATATGCATGTAAAGTACTATGCATATAAAATATGCATTACAAGTTGAGTTACTTAGTTTAACTTTTTTAAACACACAGCTGCAAGTTATGTATTAATTTTTTTTATAAATATATATATATAAATTAATTTAACAACAAATGCACCTGAACTGCGAACTAAGTAGCAAATTACTTTTATTTCTGCAATTCTACATATTGTATATAGGAGATATATATATATATATATATATATATATTGCTCTTGCGCAAAATTAATTTTTCTGTTTTGCTGCTAAACAATTACATAAGTTAAACTAATTATAGTAGTTATATATAGACGATATGCAGTATAAATTTAGAATAGCAGCTTACTCAGCCTAAAGGATAATAGCAAACACACACGCATGCGCACAAACAGATTGCGCCAGACTTGTTATGCCACTAATTATGCGCAACTTTTGGTAAGCATTGCACACATACACACATTTTATAAATATTTTACAGCAATTTAGCGCATTGAGACATACATACAATTTGTAGTTTATCATTCTTGTGCGTCGTGTATTCTTGTTTCGTGTCATATTTGTCTTTTAAATTACATAAGTTTTATTTCTCTAACAATACTCATATATTTTATGTATTTTTTCTTTAACTCTCTACAACCATCCACTTGAGTAGTTTATCTTTTGCGTGCGTTTTAATTGTTGCATAATGAAAGCATTTTATCGACGCAATAAAACTTGCGCACTTCCAACTTTTACAAACATCATCGATTGTCGACTGAGTTCATTTCACCTGAGCTGTGCTATTTTCGTGGAGGTATTCATACATTTTTTCATACATATCATATATATATATATATATATGTTTATTTTTTACTACCATTGCTAGCTTGAGGCGTAGTTGAAACTGTGTAGGGGAAATATTTTGTAGATTTTCGAAATAAAATAATATAGATAAAATAATAATAGTAAGTGATTAATTATTTTAATAATAATAAATAATAATATTAATAATAATAAATAATAATATTAATAATAATAATTAATAATATTAAAAATAAAAAATAATAATATTAATAATAATACAGCACGTAAAAAGCAGTTAAATAACACAATCAGTAATTAAAGATTTTATAAATTTGTTTAATTTCTTCCTCACATAGTTTCGTCAATGAAAGTTAGATTAAATAAAAAATATTTGCAAATTTTCTTAAATTAATATTTTTTGCGTACTAAAAAAAGTGTACCATGTTTTTGCTTTTAATATTTATTATTTTTTAAATATTTTTTTATATTTAAAAATATTTTTCTATGTAAAATTTTTTCTTTATATATATTTGTGTTAAATCATTTTTTTGTGTTTTTTTTTTAACTTAAATTACATATTTTATTAGCAATATAGATTTACTGAATTTGTTTTTTCCTTGTTTTACAAATATGGAAGAAATAGCTTTTCTCTTCGATATGCTTGCATTTAATCTGTGACAATATTAGACAGTTATCAGAACTTAACAAAATTTAATTTAAATTACTAACTTTAGTATTTAATATTTTAAGCCAATTCCAATTTAATGTTCAAGTAAAAACCAAAAATATTTATCAAGAGCAAAATATTTTTAGAAGCTTTTTTAAGCCGAACCAAGTGTAATAATAACTTACTTTTTATAAAAAATAATGTTTCAACTAAAAAAAAAAAGACTTTAAAGAAGATAAAGTGAGGTTATATAATACATAATTTGTTGATTACAGTGCTTTGGTACCTATACATTTTATTTTTAGAGCGCATTTACGCATATTAAACGGTAATAAAATATTTATTGTTATTAATTTAATAGAGAGCTAGATATAATATTTTACTATACATGCTCGAAACCAGATTTGAAGTTTTACTGGTTTTAAACTGGTAATAATTTCCGGTTGAACATTTACAAAAGAAATATAAGAACTTTTGACACGTTTCCACGGCATTGTATTATTAAATGATTTCGGATAAGCAATATTTTATAAAGTTTTTAAGTTGCACCAAAATTGTTTATCTCTGTTAGCCGTGTAAAAAGGATGAAGAAATCCTCTGTGCATAGTTATGCAATTTTATAATATACGATGTTACACAAAATAATTTACTGCGGTAATAATTTTTAAAATTATATTATTTATGAATTAAAATCAAATATTATATTTTTTTAAGACTTTTTGAGCTAATGTTTTTTTTATGAAACATTAAAAACAAACAAAAATTATTTACGGGAAATTATTTTTCAATATCGAATATGCTCAAAACTGGATTTTTTTTATACAATATGTGGCAAACATTTTTAATTACATAACTTTTAAAAGACATTTTATTTTTCCCGCGAACACGACATTTGTAAAAATGAAGGAATTGCTCTCTTCGTAAAAGAATGAACAGCAAACACAAAGCAGTTAGTTGCAAATATAATATTTTCATAAAGCATTAAGAGATCTAAAAAGTTTTGTTGTACAATAAATCCTTTTTTCCGACAGACAAATGGACATATTGTTGTAAGCTGATTGTTTTATTATTGTTGTAAAATAACATATTTTTTTTGTAATGACACCACTCTTAACACATTATTTATAAAAACTAATTTTCAACAAAATTTTCTTGCCTTTAGTTAAAAATTATGTTAATATGTTTTTTTTTTATTTTACAAATAAATAACAGTTTTTTATTATTTAGGAGACTCTTTAAAAAATAAAACAACAAATGTTTCAAAAAAGTTAAAATTTTACAAATACATATTTTTTTGAATTGCATAGAAGTCGTTCACTGAATAAGAACAGTTGTGTTTATTTAGTTACACTCATGAGGAGTAGCATTAAAGTATTTAAAAAAAACACAATTAAATTTGTGAATAAAATTTAAAAAAATTAAAATATTAAATACAAATTTTATAAATCTTTTATGCAATTTTTTATTAGAAAGAATTTAAAATTATTTTATTTATCTTTTTTTTTTTTGGTAAAGGAATCCTAATAAAAAGTTGTATACATATGGTAACCATGCAACAAGAGTTGGAAAGTTAAATATTTTTTTTATTATATAATAAATAAAGTGCGTATTATGTTAGAAGTAAATAAATTGTTAAAAATAAAAATAATTAATATAAAAGAAAAAGAACAAAATAATACACAACTTTAAGAAAGCGCGAACAAACAAATATTTTTTGCTGCGTTGCAATATTTTCCTTACGCCTTTCCACATAAAATAATATCTCATGTTTACTGCAAATATATAGCAAAAATGCATACATACACATACATGTAATTTAGGCAAAATACAATTTTTATTAGAAAAATACTCGTAGGTCTGTTTGTTTGTTTGTTTCGAACTCGAACACATTTCACCGTTACACAGTTTCAACATTTTTTGCACTGCCAAAGCAAACGCAGCGCCTTATTTACAATACAAATTGCTACATTTCTTACAGCTTAGTTCTCTACTAGTGTGTCTTCATGTGTGTGTGTGTATGTGTTTGTGTGTGCATACACATAAGTCAGTGTGCGTGTGTGCGCGACAAACAACTACAAATGCTTACAACGCAACGCCGTTATGAGCGCACTTAATCTGATTGCTTTTTCACCACCGAGGGAGGTGGTGGCGCTGGCACCGTGGGCCGCTTTGTCAATATCATATGCGGCGAAACGGGTGTTGTGGGTGTGTTGCGTGTTATCGGCGCCGGTGTCTGTGTCTGCGCTTGTGCCGTGCTCACCGTTGACGTTGCCGACACCGACGCTGTTGCCGCTGTCGACGACGCAGTAGCAAGCGTTGTCGTTTCCGATTGTTGCTGCTGCTGCTGTTGGTGTTGTTGTTGTAGCTGTAGTGGTGCAAAAGTATTGGCATTCGCATTCGAATTGGAACGCGAATGACCACCACCGAAGCTGTAGACACTGACAATGCTGTTTCTATTGCTGTTGCTGTTACTTTGGCTACCGACGCCAGCAGCGCTGTTTATATTCGCATTCTGCTCCGCACTGAGAAGCCGTTGATTGTGTTGATTTTCACGCATTGCTGTTGCTGCTCCGTTATCACAATTGTCGCTGCGTAGTTTCTCGATGAACTTCTCAGTGGTGCGTGAGACTATACCGCCTCCACCGACAACTATACTGTTAACACCGTTAGCGCCAACACTGCCATTGCCAGTTTCGTTGGCTTGAGCCAGCGTCGGTGTTGTCTCATCATCACTCTTGCCACCGCCGCCGCTTAGGCTCAGCACCATTGGGCGTTTGGGTATCTTTGGTTTTTGTGGCAAATCTGGCTTGAATACCAGCGATCCTATGCTCTCAGTGCTCTTGCGATCCGCTACCGGTGAGGGTAAGTTATCCAAACCGAAAAATTGTGTACGTGTCATGGGTACCGGCTTGGCCGATTGTGGTGGCTCTGGTGGTGGCATTTGCTGTGTCAGTGGCTGTTGCAAATTTGGCAGCTTTGGTAATGGCGGTTTTTCGGGCTTCTCTGCGCTATTACTGTTATTACCATTATTGTTATTATTGTAATTGTTGTTATTATTAGCTGTCGTTGTGGCGGGTGCTATTGCAGTTGTTATTGTCGATGTAGCTGTATATGGGAAGAGCTCTTTAACGCCGTTTCGGTGTGACTCGTGAGTGGTGTGTATTTTCTCCACAGCTTTGGCGGCACTTGGCGGTGAAGGCGCGCAAGCTTTTTGGCGACGAATGGTACCGTAACGTGGACTCTCAAGAGAATCTGAAAAGTGTAAGGAGGGGTTAAAATGAAGACGCTCTTTAAAAAATTATAACGGGTGTTTTTTTAAGACGTGTGGTTTTCAATGTGGCAATACTCTTGTCGGAGTTGGTCTTTTTGACAGCTCTTACTTGATTTCTACTCAGATTGGTTTGCCATTTCATAGTGAACAGACTTACTCGGAAACAATGTTTGCAAATTATGCAAATTTATTACCAAAATAATGTTTCGGTTCGTAGAGTCAGTAATTCGAGCAACCATGAATGGGTTTCGCACCACGTTTGCTCTAGTAGATAATGCTCATCCTCAGGTACGCCATAAAATGCGCACCGAAGACGTGCGTCCATCCATCATCGCGCGGAACAGTTGAAGCTTTATGGAAGATTTTGGGGAAGGCACTGTTTGGTGTGCTTATGGTCAGAGAATTCATATTTCTTCTAAAATGAAAAATTTAACGTTACAGTCAATGGGAACGCTATAGAGCCATGATTAATGACTATTTCGTGCCTGAATTGGAGGATGTAGGTGTGGACAACTTTTGGTTTCAACCACACGGCGCTGCATGGCATCAGTCAACTAAAGAATAAAATTATTGAAGGACACTGGTGAGTGCATTATCTCGTGTGGACGATTTTTTGTGGTTTGTCGCTTGTCTATGCAGAAAAGCCTTGGAAGAGAATATTCTGGGCGTTATTGCTGGCATGCGGCCCAAATCGCTGCAAAAATTGGGCCTCTTGGCTTGAATTTATTCGAGCCAGTCGCGGCGGTCACTTGCCCGAAATCATTTTCAAAACATAATGGCACACCCTTATCTTTGTATTAAAGCTAAATTCTTGGCCATTACATTTAATTATATGCGACTTATTTCTTCTTGAAAACCATATGTCTAAATAAAAACACTCTTAATTTATTATCCAGGAAAATGTTGAAAGAAAGCTAAAGCGAGACTATGTTAATAGAAAAATATAATTCTAATACATTACATTATTATTTTATATATTATTATATATTATTTTTTATTTACCTTGTGTTTATCCTAATGGAAAATCTAAATCGTAGAATTCTCTCTACACCCATTTGTGTGTTTTATAAAAATGTATTCAATCAGAAAAGTTTTATATTCAAAAATTTTATTTATTACAGTTAATTTTATTCTTAGAATATTACGAAACTAAAGTTACTTTTTAAAGCATATATCTCTCTTCTCAGCTTCTTTCCAATATCTCCCTCCGTATCTTTGTCTCTCCCTTTCCTTATCACTCTCTCTCTCTCTCTCTCTCTACATATTACTTTCTTCTTTTGTTTCACTTCTTTCTATCTTCTATTTCTCTCTAACACTTTCTCTCCCCCTCACCCTCCTCACTTCCTTTCACTCACCCGTGTCATGCCGATCCAAATTTTCGTTGGACGAGCCAGATTTGCTTTTACCTTCCACAAAGAGTTTATTGCGCGACAACGTCACAAAAAAATCTACATCTCCTTCGAAAAAATAATCCCACTGACTAATCAACAGTTCAACAATCACATTCACAGCCGATGAACTGTTCACCTGCCCCAGGTAGTCGGCCGGATTGCTTTTATCCAAACGCGGCCACAACATATTCGGCGACATAACAATAGCCACATTCTGCGAGCTCATCTTGTTCTGGTCAACATTCTGTGTGACCAGCCAGAGGAAACGTGTCAGATAGCGTAAATTTGCATAATTCGACGCGGGCAATTTGGCCAGTGTCGCCTTAATGGCGGCCTTCCGCTCCGCTTCACTGCCACATTCTGTCGCGCTAATAAAGTCTGTGTAGTATTTATAGGTGAGTAACGGTTCGGGCAATTCACGCAAATACAACTTGAGTATCGAACCAATCACATGCGGGTCCTGATACTCCACCGGCAATGGAGTTTTCACATATTGTGCTTCGAGCGCATGTTTCATGCGTCGCAATTTTGTGCTTGCACAACCCACACGCAGCAAACCCTCCTCATAGAGTCCGTTCTCGATGAGACAGCAAATGCAGAGCTCTAATATGTGGGATATCTCACGATTTGTCGACTCCAGATGCTCGGTTAGTGAGGTGCCGAAACGTGATTTCACTGTCGATTGTATAATATCCTGTATGGAGGCGAGCGAAGAGTTGACCTTCTGCAGTGCACGCTCGTGATAATTACGCTGGTATAGCACATAGTCGCGTATGCATTGGACTATGACGTCCTCTTTGGTGATCAACTCGAACATGAGTGCGGCAAGCGAGTCGCGCTCCTTCTCCAGCTTCACTTCGCACTGCTCCTGTTGGTCTTTGATGTGATTGATTTTTGCGGGTGCCTCGTCAAGACGTATGGCGGCCTAGAGGGGGGCGTAAAGAAGTTGAAATTTTTAAAAGGCGGATACAGTTAAAATTTCGTAAGAGAATAGTTTATAATACAATTTGATTTTTTTTTTAAATCTATTAGATCTTCTTATGAAAAATGGGGTTTAATTAAAAGCAAAACTCAGTTAAATAATTTTCTTTTGAATTCATAGAACATTCAAAAATAATTGCACACCTTTAACAGCTAGAAAAATTTAATAGAAGAATTTTTCAAAATTTTTGAACTTTTAGTAATGAATTTTTAGAAAAATTGTAGATATAATCAAAATATTATATACAAAAAATAAAAATACATTCACAATCATCATAAAAACCAAATTCAATGACTTTTTCAGTCAAAAACGTCGAATATTGTTTTCTTAACGGTTTTCGCTTTGTAGTTCAGATAATATATAATATATACATATTTTAAATAAATTCTAAAACATTTCAATTCTAATATAAACAATAATAACAAACTTAAACAAAGCCTCAATTATCTCTTATCGCGCTCAAAATTCGATTTGTCTACCGTAAATATTCACTTATTCACACAACCTCCACCACCCCCTCAGCAAAACACAACTGTGCAGCGATAAGCAAACATTTCGCAAATCTGCTTTTATCGTGCAAACAATGATAGTGACATCAGCACCAAAAAAACACAACAACAACAACAAAAACAAAAATGCGTCTTGTCGACGTAAAAAAAAAAATCAAAAATACAAATCATAAAAATAGAAGAGTGCAATATGCCAACAAATCGGATTAAAACTCTGCAGCACTGATACGGAGAACATCGAGACAGCACGATAAACATACAACGGTACATTTGTGTGTACGTAAGTATATACATAGGTGCAAATTCAATCAATAAACTTCTGACTAAGCCAATCGAATAATCACGTTCGCACCTTGCCGCATTTGCACATATCCACACCACAGCATATAGGGGCCATATACGGCAGCCATGTATATACATACGTAGAATTACATCCAGAAATGTGATTTATACTTTTTGAAATAAATTTTACATATGCAAATTTTATTTTTAGTTTATTGACTAATGAAAATATGAGCAAAGAGTTTCTAGGAAATTCTAGTCATAATTAAGACAATGTCAAAAATTTCGTCATTGTTTCCTCTCATCCAACACAACCACCTGTGTCTCCTACAAGTATATTGCATTACAGCCGGTGGCGTTTGTTATGCGGTGTTCACACTACACAGCAGAAATTACTTCATTTCGCACAAATTACTTTCAATAAATCAAGTGTATTTACATTGTTATTTTTAAAAGCAAAATTTATACTAGAAATTATCATATTTTATTTGAAAGAACCTGTGTTCTATGATCGATTAATCGGCCTTAATCTAATACAATTATTAGTTTCATTGAGTCGAGTTTTGAAAAAACACATATTTATGGTATATCCTCCCAAAAAACTGCTATTTTAGTCACATAAAATAATATTCCAGTATACATACATACTTATATCTAAGACCAGTTTCTAAACCAACTTCGTTTTTATACCATAAACAGCGCATATTAAATTTGCTACGAAGTTTATAACATTCAGAAGCAAACGTCAGAGACCCTTTAAAATATGTATATATTATATATAAGCGATCAGCTTGACGAGTTGAAGCAAGCTGTTTGGTCCGCATGTCGGTCTGTCCGTCTGTATATATCCGAACTACTCCCGATATCGATCTGAAATTTTGCACATATCCTTTTCTCTCTAAGCTGCTTATTTGTCGGAACCACCGATAACAAACCAATATGGCATATAGCTGTCAGATAAACTGAACGATCAAAAACAAAAAAATCTATGTATAGAAAACATTTTTATTTGACAAGACATCTTCACCAAATTTAGCGTAGAATATTGCCCAAGGCAACGCTAAAATCTTCGAAAATATTTTTCAGTTCGAATCACTTTATATAACTGTACGATCAAAGGGTATTCTTGCTTCGATGCAACAAAATAAAACAAAATTGTATCTATATTATAGCTCGATGGGATGAAATTACAACTCGGCAAAAACAAAATGTAAACTCTGGAAATTTCTTATACAATTTCTTGGCTGTTCCAATGTTGTCTTAATACGATTATAACGAATTATATGAGCTGCAGGTTCCCAAAACAGCCGGGAAATTATTCCTTACGCGAGAAAATTTACAATTAGAGCACGAATACATTTCACTAGTGGATCATAATTGTTATTATTTTGTGCCGAGACAAAAAGTATTTAAATTTAACCAATTGTCACGTAGAAACGTCGATTATGTCTGTCTATGGTGAGATACAAGACCAAGAGAAAACCAGGAAAATATAATATACTGAAGTCTCACCTATATTTATTAATACCAACGATGATTGGTCATAACACAAATACCACTGTTTGACACTAAACTAATTTTAATATACATACAAGTATAGTGTTATACAAAAAATGTTCTGTTAGGGGTTAACAGTCTTAAAAACGAAGAGAATTAGTTTTGGTACAATAAATGTATGAATTTTAATATAACCTCTTCTCATTAAAAGTAAATAATTTATACACATTAGCACTTCCTTATAATGGCAAAAGAATAAGAACAACAGGAAATCGCACATATAAATAACGCAGAAGAGGAACAGTGCAAAGACCCACAAGTAAATAACACAAGAAGACATAATACGAAATATACGATTAATGTTTCGGCAATTTCCATAAATATATATTATTACTATGGGAAATAGCAGAGCAATAAAAATATAGCAGCAGAATGAAGCAGAAATGAGAAATTTTTGGGCGCAAATAAAAAAAATTATACTTAAATAAAATTACTAGCATTAAATGGAAATTAAAATTCAAAATTCATACGTTTTATATTATATGTATATGTACATACATATATATATATATGTATATGCATATTTATATTGAGAATGGCATGGCAGCATGTCAACAGCATTACCAATAGGGATATAAGCATACATACCTATGTGCATACATAACGTTTGCCCTGAAACTAATTTTTGGACATCGTAACACTTTTAACAGTTTTATATTTTATATTTTATTACTTTTTCTGTCACATTGCCACAGCTCTACAGCTCAAGCTACAACTGCAAACTCACTTGTCGACAGCGCAGTCCCATATAAGGCAGGCGACTTCCTAAACAGTTAAAAGACATACATTCAAACATACACATGTAAAGGGGAATTAAGAAACACGCAACAAATGAAAGAAAAAGGTAATCAAACTTCAGCAATAAGATGCGAAATACTCTTGCAAAAGCAAGGCACAAATTTGCTCCAAAGACACAATTTCGCATAAAAATCGTAGAAAATAAGATCTTAAGCCGCTTAAGATATAACATTAAACGGGCGAATCAGTACATAACGGTGACGAAATCTGACTCACTTTTGATCAACGGAACTGCAACGAAAATAACAACAAAAGCAATTATGTCGAAAATTGCCAAATTAGTCTAAATCAGCTAAAAAAATTTCTAGGCGACAGGTATGAGTCAATAGACGAACAAAATCAATGCTTTGAAACGGGGAAATGGGCGAAAGAACGGAATTTTAAAAATATGACAAGTGTTGTTTAGTAAAAGAATGTCTTTTTCAAATCAAAAGTCTTTCAAGAATTTACAAAACTTCTAGGATAGCTTTACGACTTGTAGTGCTTATCAGTCTCTAATAGTCAAAATAGATCTGGATTTATTTCTAGACAAGGACTGTAACTACTTAGTTTTCTCGTGACAACGCGCAATACAAAGCTTTCGAACAAATCGATCGACCATTTAGGTTATATAACTAACTTCACGATGAGAAATATTTTCATATGATCTCTCGACTATTCAATCCTCAAAATTTCTGTAATGTTAACACAACAATTTTGAAGACGCCAAGAGATGTCACTCTTGTTTCAATTACCTACTAACCATTGTCAAAAGATTGAGTAATGTTGTTGTAGCGACAAAAAAAATATTATAAAATTGCGAAGTTTACTGCCGAGCTGCAAAAGTCGTCAAACAAATAAAAATCTGAGTTCGCTTCGGCACGGAAGACCATAACACAGTTACAGCAATCAGAAATATGAAGAAAAGTTTTTATTTAAGTACATGTGAGTCTTCTTTTAAAGATGCTGTTTTATTCTGCGAAAACTTGAGCTGCAAAAGTTGATTTAATTGAGGAAAAGATGTTATTGTTGGGAGATTTTAACTACCGGACAATTATGTTTCGATTAAAACTTAAAAGAAACTATAGCGCTAAAACAAACGAATCTAATCAAGTTGGCAACTCCACAAACATTCAATTTTTATTGCTTGAGTAAGCAAGATAAAAAACCGAAATAAATCAATAATAAATTGGTCAAAACTTAGATAATTTTAAAGCCTATGTTGAAGAAAAAATTTAGAATTTAATAATTTAGGCTTTCAAACGCAACTCCTATGGTCCAATTTATTATATAAACAGAAATATTGTGAATCTTACACACAAGAAATTTAACAAATAACTATAAGCTATTAATATTAACAAAATTACACCAACAAAACTGAAAATTAACACTGTTGGGGATATAGAAATTATACTGAATCGGTATTTATAGCGATAGCGTTAATAATGACGATCCAAACACTAATTTCAAAACAATCACATTGAAAGTGCTCATAGAAAGGTGATCGAGGTGACAATGTCAAAATTAAATTGCCAAATTTTGAGACACAAAAAAAACAGTTATCAGTATGTATGAATAATTAAATAGATAGTGGTGGGCAAAAGTAATAGTAAAATGGAAATATAAACCACAGCGATTACACAAATACATATATAATTCGAAGGTTCAAGCTAACCATAATAACAACAAATAAGTGGTAAAAGCAAATGTCGAAGACGAAACAACAACAAAGCGGCAATAAACCTAATACTTCCACAAATTTAATATTAAAAAAAAAAATAATAAGAAAAAAACAGCTCCTAACGTAATCGCCGGCACGCCCAACCGCAAAACCCGCTTCTGCGCTCACCACAAAGTCAGCATTGCCCACCGCTTCCTCTCTCACCTTCACAACATTGAAACACTTGAGTGACCAACACAATACAAACACACACACACGCACAGTGTAAGTCGACACAGCGATTTCGCGTAATCATAATAAAAAAACATGCGAGAGAGAAATTAAAATGATAATACTTGTAATATAATAACAAAAGATAATATAATAATAAGCATAATCATGACGAAAAATATACAAATATAAATAAATACAGTTACAAATGAACGCAATTGCAATCGTAAAACTATATACATACATACATAAGTAGTAAGCGAGTTAAGCTCAATTGAGTTGAAATGGTGAATAACGAAATCGTGTGAAAAATAAAATTAAACAAAAAAATTAGCAAAAATTCAAAAATAAAAATAATAATAAAATTAAAAGTAAAAACAAAACAAAAGTAAAAAAAAAAATTAAAATAATAAAAAAGTAAAAAAAAGAAAAAGTTTAAATAAAATAAAAATATAAAAATAACTAACGCAATAATTCAATTGCAATTAGCTGACGCACTGATATGCAACCTTGGTTTTCTAACAATGCTGTTATTGTTGTTGTTAGTATCTTTCTTTACCGCCTTAGATGCGAATTGTTAGCTATTGAGCAACATAACTGATTATCAGCGTTGACTAATTATCAAATTCGCAACAGCTATAAAGCAAATACAGCAACAAATTAGGACAACATACTCATGTGTAGTATGCCATGCAAGTAGGCGTGCCGACGAGCATTTACACGCACCATAAACACAATTTATGAATAAACGATTCAAATTGTTAGCAAAGAAAATTCGGAAACATAGTTAGATACATTATTAAGAGAGCATAAAATGTGAGTGGAAATAAGTTTAATGCTTTTTTATGTCAATTACAAGAAAAAATTTAAAATTTTTAAATTTTTTTATGATTTCTATGGTGAATATTCCCTTGATTGATAATAGCTACCTTGAAATTTTAAAGATATGATTATCTATAATAAAAACATACAAACGCATATTTGCAATGCAATGCTGTTTGTGAAGCAAACGTACATAGAAGGGAAAAAGAAAAACTCTAAAGCATTTAGGCTGAACACATAGTGCCGCGGAGCCGAGGAACCGACGGGAAAGAGGAGAAAATAATGTTTCAGTATTAAGTATATATAAAAGTTATATAAAAAAAATGTAGACGAAACAAAAATATAATAATATATATATTTTTTAATATTTATACAAATACTGTTCATACTACAGTAAACAGCTTAACTCGATTTCGAGAAAATTCAAAATTTCATTTCGCTTTAAGTAATTGGCCTTTAACATAATATTTTTTAATTTTAAATACCAAATTTTTGACAAATTTATACTTTTTGTAAAAAAAATTCATAAATTACAAAATATCAAATGCAATTACATAAATATCCCATCTTTTTCAATAATTTTAAATAATTTGCTTACAAAATAAGATTTTAAAGTTCTGAAATCGGCATTGCCATACTTTATTGAATTTCTTTATTTCATCCACTATGTGCTCAGCCTTACGTAGCGATAATTGGTGATAACACGAGCGCGATTTATGGATTCGCTGATAACATGCCACAAAAACACCAATAGTATATCAATATCGTAATGGCGAAACAGTTATAAGGAATACACCAAATCTCGATTAACGGTTCACAGCGCTAAATGGTTGGCAAATGCTTGGTGATCTCACTTAGAGTTATCGTCAATGAAAGTATTGCAAGAATACAAACGTGCTTTTTTCAAGATGATCTTGCAAGCTTTCATTGAGCTTTGGATGAAGCGTTTTGTTTTTTCTCTCCCTGAAAATACAACTAGGACTCCTTTGAGGCATCCAACCACTTTTTATTTATAAAAAATGTTTCATGTTTTAAATTATTTAATAGCATGAGATCAATTTTCCATGTCAAAAACAAACCCATGATAATGATACGGCATTAAGCTTCTTAGCTTATCGAATAATACCAAAATCTACAGCCAATCAAATTTTATACCAAAAGAAGCTTACGTATTTCTATTTAAAAAGAGTCTACATATTTATATGAGTTATTTGTAGGTTTCTTATCACATTATGATAACAAGAAATTATTACGAAAATATTATCAATTAAGCTAAGGAAATTTATTGAGCAAAGCTTTGGACACCAATTGTTAATAAGATATGATGATGCATGTAGTAAATATCTACATGTTTAGAACATAACATATTTACGGAGATCAAGCTTGGATAGACTTCTAAACCTTGAAATAGTAGTAGTTTACGGTTTTTACTACATAACCTTACAAATATAAATTAACAATTTCTCTAGATATCCTTACTGTTTTTAAGCTGCTAAATGGAGAGACCTTACCGATTTAAGTCCTAATTTTTAAATTGTTACCAATTCAAAAAATGTATAACTGAGCCAAATGTTGCAAAATGTGTATCAAACGAAACATAACGAGATCAAGCAAACTTTCCGAATATTATTTGAGAAATCTACAATTTAAATATGTATATTGAGGAATAGAGTTACCAAATAAAAGCAAAATATTCTCTACAGAGAAACAAACGCTGTTCAAAAAAATGCTTCCTGTTATAATTAGATCCAGATTTGAACTCACCACACTCAGCGTATTGGTCAGTCAGTTACGCTTAAACAATATTCTTTCAATTACCAATTAAACAAACTTGCCCAAAATATCAATCAAGTAATATTGAATGGCGTTAATTATTCAATGTCATTGCGAAGTTCTACAAATTAATGGAGAAAAACTTAACGCTGCCAATGATTTAATGTAATTGCTAAATAGCAAACTGATGTAACGTTTATATGTATGTAGGCGCTTACAAATTTATGTATGTATACGCGTAATATTTTATATTTTTATAGCAAATCGAAGACAATGACTGAATGAAAGCACAACACGTGTTTAAAAATGTAATCGAAACCATTGTGCTTATTATATTGCCTATAATGCCTAGAACGCAAAATACATATAATAAAAAAATATATGTTTTTTTTTTTTTTGTTCTAGCTATCGCTCAGTAGACATACATATGTACATACCAAATAGTAAGTAATAAAATAGCTGCGGTATTAGCAATCATCAATACGATATGATACAGCTAGTAAATGGGTTTAGAGGCAAACATATACATACATACACTTTTTCCTTCTTTTTTTTTGTACAAATATGTACAAGTACCTACTATATATTATATAAAGCATTAGAGTAACATTTCATATGAAGGGGACTCATGAAAAGCATTATGGCAAATAGTTTACAAGCTTTAGCGCTACTCCAAACAAGTGCTACAGCAGCGGACACTAAGAATGTCAACGCCTTCACTGCCTAACTACTTTCTTTTATTGATTCACTTATTCTTCCATTCATACAGCCACTTAGACTTTTTCATTCAATTTTCCGCTTGTCAGCGCATAAACACTTCAGCTACATAAAAACAACTTGGAAAGCATTGAGTGAGTGTATTCCAACGCCCATTTGTCAGTTAACTGTTGACCGTTAAGTCGACTTCCCAGGCGCACATTTGCACGCGCATTGTTGCACATTGATAATAAGTAGGCAAATGTATGTACATACATATATACATATATATGAGTATGTAATGTATGTAGATATATGTGTGTACGTGTTATTATGGGTAAATACCTCATAGCTGCGCTTTAGTGACTGATACTCCTGCACTGTACGTGATACATTGCGTTTGAGTGATGAGATCTCTTGGATTTCATTATCCAAAATTTGCTTTAAACGACGCACCACTTCGGTCTCGGTCTCCAGTTCATTGTCGACGATGCATTCCGCAATTGACTTCTCAAGTTCGCCTGCAATTGAGTAATACAACATTTAGTGAGTAAATAGTTGACTGTATATATACATACTATATATATATTTGTCTTATAAATTATAGCACATATGCGCACACAAGTTTTTACACAGTTTCATATGTAAAGTGTATGCATGTTTCGCATGAATAGTAGCCAAAAATATTAGTCGAATAGAAATAAACTTACGAATGAGCAATAAAAGGGCAGTAAAGCTGCTAAATATGAGTAAACTACATAATTAACATTTGTATATAAACATATGTATATATTGTATATATTTGATTGTATGTAGGTGATGTTCATATGTTTGTAAGTGGAAAAGCAATGAGGCAAGAAGTCACAAATGGTTGCGAACGAATGAATAGTAAATGCGATATTTTTAAGAATGAGCTGAGCTAAAGCAATATTTCAAAAAAATATATATAGTACCATATACATAATTATAAACGTCTGTTGGAACAGAATAGTACTCAAAAACGCAATTTGGTAATTGAAATTTTTTAAACGTTCGAATAAATAATCTTTATAACACATTACTTGTAAACAATAACCTAATTTAGCACTTCCCTAACCCAAAACCATACATATACAACATACATACATATGTAGGTATATTAAACCTAATATAAAAAATATTTTTATTGTTATTATTTATATTATTTAGTTTTATTTACCAGAAAGATGTCAATTTTTAATATGGAATATACATATAACAGAACATATACATACATACATATGAAATATACAAAAAAATTATATATATTTTACAATAAAATAAATAAATTGCTATCATTAAGTACTAAATCGATATATTGAAAATTATCGAAGTATTCTTATAACAACTATTCAATATTCAGTCTAGTCAAATATAAGCTTTGAAATGACATCATAAGACAAATCCTTTAAATTTAGTATGAAATAAAATAAAGCAAAATATTAGCATAATTTAACAAATTATCCACAATAAGGAAAATAATTAACTGACATTAAACATATTTGCTAAAAACAAACAAAAAATTTTCTAAACAACCAAAAATTGTTACTTACAATAATTTTCAAAAGCTGCAAATTCTAGAATTTGTAATCTTAGAGTTTATGTAGAATTAATCGTCATGGAAGTGGTTTCAGAGCTTGCCTAAAAATTAAAAATCATTGCACTTTTCAACACAAATACTGCAATTAGCGAAATTTTTAGAACTAGCACTAGACATGGGTTTCCGATGGATCGATTGATGATAATAGGTAGACAAGAAAAATAAAATATGTATATAAGTAGATAGTACAAAGTGTATTTACATATATACAATAAATATCCTTCATACTTCATGACCAAACACACTTCGCAGCTGGGTATGTATGAAAAAAGCCGCCCAAAGTCAATAAAGTGACATGCAATGCCTAGCTTCAACGAAACTCAACATGATCATAGCCACTCTCCAACGCATTACAACAACAAAGTAACAGCAATTAAAAATTTGCAACACCAAAATTATCAGTTGTAATGGATGGTTCGACACAAGCACCGACTCATAGTCGTTTGCAGACTGACTACGGCGGCAGCTGAGTAAGTAAATGATGAGTGGCTATTTAGTATCTTGGTTTACTGCCAGACTGACTGTCTATTTATCTGCTTTTGTTGTCGTTGTTGTTGTTGTCTATTATCTGCTAGCTGGCCTAAGCTTAATGTGCATATGCATATGTATGTACATATGTATGTACTACATATAAATGACATGGTAAAAAAAACTGAAAACTGTTGCTGCCACTGCTGGTATTATGGGATTGAAATGAAATTCCCACAATGTCTTTCAGCCACAAGCTTCAAGCGTGAGGTTTGGTTGCATGCCTATTGGCAGCTGAACAACACCATACAACTCTATTCTCACATACATATCTACAAATGTATATGTTGAGACATCCATAAATATATATTTATGTAGATGTGTACCTCTCAAATGAATGAATATGTGTGCATGTTATATAGATGTTGTTGATGCACTTTGGAATTGTTACATAATTAGCAGCGATATAATTTGGTAATAATAAAAAGCAAGTTAAGAGTTTACATATGTACATACCTGCATACACTTATATATGTATATATAGTAAGGTTACAATAGTATATACATGCAAGTTCGTAGCTTTTGCTGTTCTCGGCGAAACAAAATAAAGTAGATTTCGGTTGCACTAAAATTATAATACCCTTCACAAATAATAGAACTTTTATACAGGAAATTGATTTTGCGCGGTCAGTTTGTATAACAGCTATATGGTATAGTGGTCCGATATCGGCGGATAAGATGTCATCGATATCTTAAAACCTGAGGGACTAGTTGGCGGATATACAAGCGCACATACAGACTCAGCTCGTCACCCTGATCATTATATATAGGTATATCATAGGCGTGCGACGTTTGTTTCTGGTTGTTACAAATTTTGTGGCAAACTTAATGTACCTTATTCAGGATATAAATATTAATAAAAAAAAACTTATATTTTAGTGCAAACCGAAATCAAAACTCATTAAAAGCGACAAACTCAATCCATTAGAAAAGAAAACATACATAAAACGTCAGCAATGTGTCGACACAAGACAGTTTTTCGCTGACAAAACACACCATCATTGTTGCGACAAGGCCAAGCGCAGCAAAGGCGAGGTCAACGCCAGCGCCACACTCATCGCAGCTGTCAACGACGTTCGTCCAGTGCTACAACTCAATACATTGGGTCAATCGTAAAATTGCAAATATATGAAAAGCAACAACAACATTTCGGCGTGCCTTCCGCCCCGTGATCAAAACACATAATTGTTCGCACAACCACACTGTTATATGTCTATCGTAAATGGGACATATATGAGAGTATATACGTATGTATGTACTTTGATAGCACAATTCAAGTGTTAACACAAACTTTGGTGACATACAATAATTTCTTTGATATAATACACTTTGCAATTAAGTCTTTTAAGGGATAATGTTTTGTAATTCTTTACGAACTCTACCACTCCTTATATTTGCGTGTGGGATAGTCTTTAGGAATTTATTAAATACATTTAATAAGCACACAAGTCTAACTTGGCCTCTTCTACTTGTTACTGTCAGCACACAGAGTTTACATATTTTGTTTTATTGTTATATACGCACCACAATTAGATAAGACATGATGTAACGGCATTTCTTTGGATAGATCCTTGGATGACTCTTCAAGCGCTTGTCCAATCTTGTAGTGACTGTTCTTTTTGATACGTTTATCACGCTCCTGTGTGTCGGTTGTGGAACTAGCTGCCGGCAATTTACGCACCATTTTTTCCAGTACATCCTTATACTTGTCAACTTGTTTTTCAATAATTTCCAATTCGGAATCCTTGCAATCGGATTTATTTGATCTTCAGAAGATTATTCATGAAAAAGGTAATAATTAAAAACATAAGTCTCGGATTGCATATTTTGATAATAGTGTAAGGCTAGTAGCACCAATAGCTTCAATACATAACACATTAGCAAAATGCCGACACACCCTTCCCCTTTGGCACACAATCAAAGCAAAGGTGTAATCTTTCCACCCTAAACAAACCAATGCCAGCCAACGCGGCCGTCTATGCTTCAATAATCTCAGTCCTTTTACGCATCGGCATCTATATACATAAATTTGTATAGAACACAGTGCCACACCATTGTGTCTAGCCCATGCCTTATGACTTTGTGCTATCCAGCCAACTTCCAAAGCTTACAGCACTCACCTCCCCAAATTTTCAGCTGCAATTTTTATTTTCGTGAATTGTTTCTTCATTTTTGCAGCACTTCACAATTACACCACCACCGATATCACTTTTTCAATCGAATAACTGTGTTATGGTTTTTTTACACTTCAATATTTCGATATTTTTCTTCAATTTTTGCAGTAAACATAAAAATTAGTCATCCTATTCTTCTATCGCCAACGAATGCGAGCAATCAACTCAAGACTGTGAAGCTTTAAAGGGTGTGTTCAGTGGCATTATGACGTTTAAGGTCATACCATAATACCAACTATGGGGCATAGTTCACTATGTACAACAGTGGTTATTATTATAATTATACCATCTTATTTTATAGTTATATATATCATAATTTATATTTCAGTACCTATAATATGGTATTGTTTTCAACTTCATCTATTTATTTATTACTGATATTAAAATACATCTCTTTTATGTTCTCAACATAATTTCTTTCAGTGTATACCGTTGATAATTTGATGAACGTACGATTGTCAAATTTGACAATTTGATTTGCTTTTTTGTTCTTCAATGTTATTCATATGCTTTCACTTGGAATGAAAGTTGCACGTGTGGAATTATAAAGTTATAATTATATATTATATTAATTTATATAAAATTCATTAAATTGTCCATAATGACAATACAACTTGATAAAAAGGGTTTAATGTCCCTAATGCGCACAGAGAATGAGCGTATTATGGATATGCTACTTACTTATAATGTGCCGGACTCAATTGAAGGTATGTAAATATACTTGGCAGTGAGAAAATTAAAGGTAAATATTTATTATTTCTAGACATCGAATATGATGATTATCTGCTGAATAATGAAAAATCTGCTGCTAAAGCCAAAAATGCGTTGGATGCCCGAAAAGCAACACCTATTGACGAATTGCAGGATCGTCTTAATATTATCAAAAACAAGATGAAAACCAAAAAGCGTCCAGCGTCAGAGGGGTCACAAAAGAGACGTGAAGCGAAAAAGCTGAGAAAAAATAAAGAAGTTAAAAAAATATTAGTCTCCGCTGCGAAATCTATGAAAAACGAGAATCAGAAATTTGCAAATGTAAGTGGGGGTGACAAAGAGGACAAAAAAGATATTAAGAAAGTCCTACCAAAACCAGTCTTTAATGAGGAAGGTAAAATTGTATTTTCTAAATTTGATTTTGCGTCTCATCCCGGAGCCAAAGTGAAAAAATCGCATCAAAATCCTCGTGAGATTTTGAAGAAAATAAAGCAAACAGATAAAAAAATAAACGAACTCAAAGAACAAGGCGAAGTGGAGAAAGCTTCTGAAATAAAAAGTGAAATGGCTTGGAAGAAAGCCTTTGATAAAATTGAAGGCAAAAAAGTAAAGGACGATCCCAAATTGTTATATAAAGCCATCAAAAAACGAAAGAGCGAGAAGAAGAAATCGAAGAAAGATTGGGTGGAACGTAAACAAAAGGTTGAATCGGGCATAGAACAGAGACAAAAGAAACGGCAAGAAAACATCAACAAACGCATCAAGGATAAAAAGACCAAGAAGCAAAAGAAGTTATCCAAAAAGGGGCGGGTTATACCCGGTTTCTAATAAAGTTAAGCAGTTATTTTTAAGTTCATAGTATAATAAATAAAAAATATATAAAGCTGACTTTTCATTGAAATTTCATTCAAACAATATTTATATATGAAAGATTTTAGAATAAGTTAATTCAGTTATAAATTTTCTATCATTTATAAATATAAATTGCTCTAAGTACGCTGAATTTGAAGTTTAAATCTCATTTTTCGTGATATACTCTTCCAGGAAAAGCAACGAGTTTACCAGTACAATAACGTTATTTTAATGTTGTTTAAATTGTACGCTGCAATAATAACATTACGTCACGTTACGTTTTATGGCAACGTTTTGAAAACAGCTGACTTGAGTTTTGCCTAGATCTCGGCATTCATTGAACATACTGCAAATAGCAGTTGCTTGTGATGACATTTCGTTTTCGCATATTTGTGGTATCTTTGTCATATAACAATTCGGTCGCTGTTGACGTCGTCGCGGAAACATAAACAGTGTTGCATTTTGAAATTGTGTTTGGTAAATATCATTTCATTTGGTGTAAACATTCTCTCCGAACTTTGTTTTTTTACATTTAATGGTTCTAGTTAAGTGATGTATTAGAAACAATTACTATTATTTAAAATCTACTATAACGAAAGTATTACCTTGCAGATTTTTCGAGTCCGTGAGTTGTTATTCAACGTGAGTTGTAGCCCTGTTCACAGCTGTCTGTCAATTCGCATAATATTTCGCAGTCGCAGCAGCGAAAAAAAGTTGATATTAACAACGGCAGCAAGGCAAAAGGAACACAAAAAGTCAGCAGTGCAGTTGAAAATGAAGAAGTTTGCAAACGGTACAAAGATATAAAGCAAAGACAGAAGTGAATAAAGCAAAAAAAAAGAAAAGAGAACGATAGAAAAATATATTTTGACAACGTTTTTTCCATTCGCAAAACGAACTACGTCTTATAAAACAAAATAATCACTTCAAAATTTGCTGAAATACAAAATTGCTAATAAAAAAAGTTATCGAAACACGCGTTAAAAATCGCTGAAAGTACAAAAAGTGAACGCGTTCGGACAAAAAAGCCTGGGAGGCGACGAGGATCGTCCAAATAAAACAAGAGCAACGTGAACACTACCTACGATTCCATTGAAAAAAATTTGGGTATAATAAATTGTAGAGCTGAACTGATAAAAGCCGAGTATTTGAGGAGGTGTAAAAATAGACAGAGACAGGAATTCAGCAGAACCATGAGTGTTGTACGACACTTTGTGCTCCTGTCACAATTGCCGAGACTTGGACCAAATTACTACTGGCTAAAAGGTAAGTTATAAGTTGAAGTTATAGAAAGAGGTAGTGGGTTACAAATTTAGTTTGAAGTTTTTCCTAAACTGGTATTATCTGTACACGTCCTTTACGCACCAAACAGCATTTCATGTATCGGAAACATATAGCTACCTTACAAACTGACCGATCAAATTCAAGTCCTTGCATGGAACAATTGTTAATTTGGCAAGGTTCACAAAATTTGCAACAGATTATTATCCAAGGCATCGCTACAATATCCGAAGAAATTGTTCAGATCGGACCATTATACTTTATAGAAGCCATTCAAACTGACCGATCAAAATCAGAATAAATATCTTTTTATACCCTTTTATGCTATAAAAATGGTCCTGTACAAGGTATTATAGGTTTGATGCAGCCGAAGTTAACGTTTTTTCTAGTTTTGTTTTCTGTCCTTGCTTCTTTAGCTTATACAAAAATTTATAAGAGCAATGGGCAAATATTCTGTTTCTTACTGCGACTCGATCAAATAGAAGCGCCATCAAGAATAACAAAAATATATTTATGTAATGTACATACATATGTATGTACATATTAAGGTGTACATATGTGCTCATATATATATAAGTAGGTATTACAAATGTTAGAATTACAGACTTTGATTTGAACAGCAGATCTAGTGTATGTACATATGTATTCGCGTACTTATTTACCTGAATTAAGTTTATCAACACGTTACGCAGTTAGAATACAAGCTTTATAACATTTCTTAGACAATAAGAGAATAGCATAATTGTATTTAAAATTTTTAGGGGTAAAAAAAGACCACCACACTAATGTTTTTAAGTCAAGAAAATACAAACAGATTAAAATATATACATACATACATTTGTATATACATAAGTTGTTGCTTTTTATTCTCATCAGCAATTCGTGCAGAATATTAGTTTTTTGCTCTAGTTTCTCCCTTTGTTAGCCCTTTTTGTGTTCTCAATCATGCATATGTATTTTTGTTTTTTTGGCAAATAGATTTTCAATCAGTTCATTAATTTATGGTGTGTTGTTTGTTGTTATAATATTGATAAATTGTAATGTTTTCCGTTGATTGTGTAGCACATAGTCATATTTTTATATTTTTGGAAGAACAACAATAATAAAAAACTTGCCCACCCACTTTTGTTATGTACATATAATGCTGTTGTAGGCCTTAGGCGGAAATACTCCTTTGTTTGATGTAGTATATTTAATGTTTCAGCACTATATATATATTATAGACATAGTTATGTATGTAATTGAAGATTATATGCAACATTTACCACACAACTGTCTATATCATCGTCTCGAATTGCTTGTCATATTGCCTTATTTTAAACATCTACATGCATATGTATGTACATAAATCAGTAAGCTGAAAAGTAACTTACAACACAAATTTGAAGGTCATATGTGCAAACTTTGAATTTTTAAACCCAATAATTAAGCGCATTGAAGCCAAAAAATATCAAATGCATAAAATTAACTTAGTTAAGCATTAATATATGTATTGTATCCATAAGTATCTTTATATGCATATATGCATACATATGTACATATTTCAGTACATAAATTTGCAAACTCCAAATCAAAACAGAACCAACAAAAAACAAGTTCATCAAATCACAGTGGACGAAAAAGCTAGCGACTTTTAAACCACTCTTCTCCTCTCATACGCTACCTTACTTAGGTAGCTCAGCACTGACGACAATTTTTCAGTTTTTGTTGTTATTACAATATGTAATTTTTTCGCACGAAAGCAATAGCAGATGCTAAACAAAAAGTAAAATAACAGTAAAAACCAAATTGTGTTGTTTTATTTGACCTGCTTATCAACAACAATGTTGGTAAAATTAAAAATATATGAATAACATATTTATTTATTCTGTATGGATATGCACTAACATATTTACGCGCGCTAAGTGTAATACACAGCATTAAAAGTGGAAATACAAATGATTTTTAGTTTTCACACTATGGATTCCGTTAATATTTTATTATCTGTGGCTTTTCGTTTGTCACGTAGTACATACAAATCACTTGAAGCTCAGCCCATAAACAAACACTTATTGTGCATGTCAATTCTTAACGGTTATAAATGTACATCATGTACAAAAACAGATATTTGCTCGAATATCACAGGTAATGAACTCGCCTCACGCGACCCTGTCACTTCACATACTATCAGGGTCTTAAACGTGTGCATTTTGTTTTGGAGACAAGGCTAAGGTCAAATATAATGAGCAACTCGCTATACTTACCATATAGAAAACGAAAAGAAAAATGGAAGTTGATGAAGTCGAACGCAAGTTTGTGAACTCAGGGCTCTGCGCTGACAGTTTTAGACTATATATAATTTTAGAACTATCTCTGGAAAAAGAGCAAGATATGCTCTTAGAAACAATTCATATATAATTGAAAAACCAGTAATGGGGCAGTTAAAAGGTACAATTTAAACTCCGAAACTCATATTTTAAAATTTATGCATATATATTACGATGCGAACAAATTATGCAACCTCAGTGAATAATCATAATAAAAAACAGAAATCTATGCAAACACACATGCAAGCACAGAGGGGCTTGATGCACGGAAAATATCTCTTTCATTTTGTTTAACTAATTTAAACTGATTAAAGCTGTTTATAAGTATTAATATCAATCTAGCGAAGCACTACACTGAGAGTTTCGTATGAATACAGTATAGTACAATGAAATAGAGCAATTCTAATAAAGGTTTGAATAAATCTCACACTTACGCGCTTCGACAAAAACGCAAATTTGATTCTAACTCATATATTTTCAATAATTTGAAATTTGTCGTATTCAGTAAGAAAAAATTCAAAACCGGTTTTAAAAAAAATCTGGAGGAACTATTTTATGGTTAAATTTAGGATCCTAAAATCGTAACTCATTTTGCTATTATATCGATTTTAATTAAATCAGCAATTAATATGAATTAGAAAATATCTGAAGGAACTACCTGTAGAAAATAATTGAATAATATTATTAATTTTAAATACTCTCGACTTCAGCTTTGCAGTCACATAAATACATTTTATGTAGATATGTATGCATGTATTCAGTCATAATACAAAAAACTGTCACTTTATCGAGCAGTACTAATTATTTGACCACAGTTCTATTTACTCAAAAAAGCAAAGTCAACTGCCAATACACTCAGTCAACTTATAAAAAAATGTAATTTGAAAAAAAAAAAAATGAAACAAAAAATGTGTGCTGAAAAGTGCAATTGAAAATTGGAATATAAATAAAGATGATTATGAGGTTTGTCTGTATTGTTGGCTAAGTATGTTGTACTCATCTACTTGTTTTTAAGCTATTTCAGTTCAACGTACCCGATTTAATTTTTGCGCATGATAATATGATTTGCGACAACGAACAAAGCCACATGCCAAATACTTGCAAAAAAAATTAAAAAATTAAAAACAAACAAATTAACTTTTAAGTATTCCCTTTAACTCATATTTTAAATGACAATACTAATTTTCCTCACTTTCTCTTCTCAATTCAGGAGTCTGTTGCGCGAGCGTCGTTAGCCATATCAGAAGTATCAATGGCACATTGACCTCAACACGTTGTTTGCACAATCACACAGATGGCAAGGAGCCCTTCCGCACAATCGTCACAGCTACTGCGGCGTCGTCGGGCAATGACGGCACCACCAACGGCAGCACCACATCGGGCACAGGCGCCAGCAGTGGCGGTTCGATGGGTGGTGTCGGCGGTGGTGGTGGCGCCTCGACCACAGGTAGCAGCGGTGAACCGCCCAATGACAAGAATACACTCTCCTGTCCGAAATGTGGTAATCCATGCACGCAAGTGGAGACATTTGTCAGTTCGACACGTTTCGTAAAGTGTGCTAAATGTAATCACTTCTTCGTCGTGCTCTCCGAAGTCGATACGAAGAAGAATGCAAAGGAGGAGCCGAAAAATTATCGTAAACCACCACCGCCACCACAGAAAATTATGGAGTACTTGGATCGTCATGTGGTCGGACAGGATTTTGCGAAAAAGGTACTTGCCGTCGCCGTATACAATCACTACAAACGCATACACCATAATTTGCCACAAGTACAGACGCAAACGAACATACAGTCCAACGATGCAATGGGCCGCACCGATTTGCTGCACATATCCGGCATTGGACACACAATAGGCAACACATCCGGCACCGAATTGCCGCCGAAGGGCCATTTGTCCGGTGCTGGTAATAGCGGTGGCGCACATCATGCGCATTCAGATAGTGGTTCGGAAATATTGGATAAGCAAAATTACGAAGTGAAATTAGAGAAGAGTAATATTTTGATGTTGGGCCCAACTGGTTCGGGTAAAACTTTGATTGCACAGACAATTGCACGGTGTCTCGATGTACCGTTTGCGATTTGTGATTGCACTACACTCACACAAGCCGGCTATGTGGGCGAGGATATCGAAAGCGTAATTTCAAAGCTGCTACAAGACGCTAACTACAAGTGAGTAGCGTCCAAATAGTTTTATGCTTAATTATAGAAATTTACTAAACACAATTTCCTCTCTTGCACCATTCAATTTTGTTTTGCTACCTTTCCACTCTCTTTCTATCCACTTTTTGTTGCAGTGTTGAGCGTGCTCAAACCGGAATTGTGTTCTTGGATGAAGTCGACAAAATCGGCGCTGTGCCCGGCATACATCAATTACGCGACGTCGGCGGCGAGGGTGTGCAACAGGGCATGTTGAAGATGTTGGAAGGCACCATTGTTAACGTGCCCGAACGTAATTCGCCGCGTAAACTGCGAGGCGAGACTGTACAAGTGGACACCACGAATATACTATTTGTGGCGTCGGGCGCCTACACTGGACTGGATCGCCTGATTGCAAGGCGACTCAACGAAAAGGTGTGTATGATTTGCGTATAAAGCATTTTTCGAGTTTATGATTTTAACTGTTTTATGCAATTTTGTCTTTATTTGTTATTACGCTGCAGTATTTGGGTTTCGGCATACCATCCACAAATTCGTCCGGGCGTCGTGCCGCTCAATCGACCGCTTCTCCTATGGATAGTGATCAGGAGGAACGTGACAAAAGCCTGAAAAAAGTGCAAGCTAGAGATCTCGTCGAATTCGGCATGATACCTGTAAGTTCATAGAGCAACTTGAAAACCATTACCGCTATTTGCTTTGCGCCCACCGCCGTTATTTATGTTTTCATATATTTTATCTCCATTATTATTATTTGTTTTCATAATTCTCAATAATTTGTAGGAATTTGTTGGACGCTTCCCCGTAATTGTTCCCTTCCACAGTCTCAATGTGAGTATGCTGGTGAGAATACTAACCGAACCCAAGAATGCCTTAATACCGCAGTACAAGGCGCTCATCGGCATGGATAAGGTGGAGTTGACCTTCGAACGTGATGCCATCGAGTCGATAGCCGCCATGGCAATGGAGCGTCATACCGGTGCACGTGGCCTGCGTTCGATTATGGTCAGTTGCAAAAAAATATAAAATTTTTTGTTTGTTTTACATTAATTACATTATCGTGAAACAGGAGCAATTGCTGCTAGATCCCATGTTTTTGGTGCCCGGCTCCGACATCACCGGTGTACACATCACCGCCGACTACGTGAAGGGCGACACACAGCCTGTGTATGTACGCAAAGAAAATGGCGATGACGGTACCGCGGATGAGAATGATAGTGAGGGTAAAAACTATGAGGACAGCGAAAGCGCCAAAGTACGCATCACGCAATAAAATGACACTTGTACACGTTGGAAATGTTGCGGCGACATGTCCTAACAAAGCAATGCTTGAATATTTTTGATTAAACAAAAACCAAAAAAAAAAACAAAAAAAAATCGACTTTAGCTCGAAGCAATCTCACTAAAACAACAACAACAAAATGAGACAAATGTGTTTGCGGTTGCGTTGTGGCGTTGCGTTGGTCCTCCTTTTACAACAACTACACAAATTGAACAAGTACTCCCCGTACTTTATGTTATATTTTTGAACAGCTAATAGGAAACAGAATATCTTTAAGAAATATTTAAAGGCAAAAAAGAAAAAAAAAACACATTTATATATTGAAATTGCCACAGCAAACAATAATCAATTATTTTCAATATATATTATTATTATCATTATTATTATTAAATGAGCACTACTTATGTATATTTTTAGTCTATATTTTGCAATAAACGCAAATAAGAACAGTTAATGAATATTTCACTGTACTGCGCATGTGTGAACGGCAAATGTGAATTACTTGAACAAAGCAAGCCCATGGTGATGTTGTTTATCCGCAAAACATTAATGTATGTACGTTGAATGCCAAATTTGAAAATTCTACAAATTTAAGCAAATTTTTGTCTAATGTTATTAAAAGTGAAGAAGAAAGCGATAAAAAATTTTTGTTTGAAAAAAAAAAATGCAAAATACAAAAAATGCTACACGTTGTATAAATATACTTACTATACATTTACGAAATACAGGTTAAAGCAAATTGTTTCTGTGAGACATGTAGGCAAAAACAACCACAACAAAAACTATTGCAAGTAAAGAGCAAAACAAAAAAAATTGAAATTTTTGCGAAAGAAAATATTTTTTTTTGATAGCATTAAATAATAAAATGTAGTGTCAAGTTTTATTTTAAAATAATAGCGTATTTTATATAATATAAATATAAATATTATATTAAATAATTCAAAGAAATCAAAATAAAAAAGTAAGAAAACAAAATAAAATTTTAAATAGAAAATTCATTTAATTAAGTCAACAACATATTGGGACTAATTAATATAATTTTTTTATATTTTATATTCTTAATGCGTTCTTGTAGTCAATATGTTATTGCACTTAATTGCTTTCGCCAGTGGTTCACATCGCTTTTGTTGCTTCCGTTTCCATTTATTGGCGCAGCGCTGTTTTCGCGCTCGTTAATTGTTATGATTGCAGGTGTTATGCAAATGTAATGTGTGTGTGTGACTAGATTTTCCGCCATTCAACGTTAGGTAATAGCTATACGAGTGGTTCGTGGATTTTCACTAATATTCTCCAAATTCCACTCGCTTTTGGTATTTGTTAGTATATGCATATTTTACTTTGGTTCATGTGAAATATGTGTATGTATGTTTATAAATAACTATGATCATAAAAAAGAAATATAATTTTATAGTTTGTTAGATGTACTAAAAAAATTTGCTGCATTTGCTCCCTCTCCTTATAAACTCTTTAGTTTTTTTCTTCTGGTTTTGTTTTTGTATAAAAATAGCTTTGCAGTTATTTGTTTTATACAAAAAACTTGTAGATATGTATGTAGTTTGTACGATTTCTATGCATGTAAGTATGTGTTCATTCGTTTTCCTCAGAGATGAGCAGTTCGTATTCCTGCGCCGCAAAGCGATCCCAATCGGAAGACTAAAAATTGCGAAAAAAGCAGGGTTATTAATATAAATTATTATAATTTTTTTTGATTTTTTTCATCGACTTACATATTCATCTCTTTGCGAGGCAAACGGATCACGTTGCTCATGATCCAAATATTTCTCCAGATTGAAGAATGTGTCGAAGAAGACATGTGTCATTTTGCAGCGCTTCAAATCGCCCAATGAGACGCAGTCGCGACGTGCAGGTTTAATCATGTCGAGCATCTGAAATGAAATTATTTTGAGTACAAAGTGCCTAACATGTTAAAACAGTGATTCTCAAACTACATATGTACGCCGTGACTGTCAGTTATTTCAATTAGATATTTCTAAACAAAAAACAGAAGTTTCAAAACTTTAAGAATCCACGTTGTTTGATATAAACAACCTTCAAGTCGAATTTACATTATTTAATAAGGAAAAAATATATTTTTTGAAAAACTTTATCTTGATCTTTTTCAGCTATGCTATACTGGTCACTTGCCGTTCCCTATTCCTGTTCCTGCTCAGGATATAAAAATATATTTGCACATATTAAGACATGGGTCATTTCGCATTCCCTTTCAGTACGTTGAAACCTGCGACAGATTTATCTACGTTCCCCATTCCCAATGGCGATTTTTAAACATTGATTGCTTTTCTCGGCAATTTTTCGTACACAAAAGTAATCTAGGTCTGTCCTCACCTGACACAAACAATCCTCGAATGGCAACGTCTCAATGCCAATCGATTCCATACGTTGCTGTTGTTCCTCATAGAAGTACTCCAATTCGTACATGGACAACACGCCATCACCATCGATGTCCATACAACGGAACCAATACTCGATTGCGGTAGGTGTACGCTTATCCTCTTCGGAAAGCAGAAACCACACAAAATCGGTATAGGACATTTTCGGCTCATCTTCGGGCTGCTTTTTGTTATCGCCACGCGTTACGCAACCCGAAAATATTCGCTCAACAATGCGTGTGGACAAAGCATGATCACTATGCCTCGCCAGATCATCCTGATTGATAAGCAGATCGTGATCTTTATCCAATTCCCAGAACTTACAATAGATGACGTAGAAGTGTTCATAGCTGAAGAAGGCCATAATTTGATTGATATCGTCCTCCTCCTCCAGTAACGTGAGCACCTTCAAATTGAAGTGACAATTATAGTAATAGCAGTTTAAGAGTTTATCAGCATATACAAACCTCCAAGAGATCGGATTTCTTCAGTTCCGATATGTTTATCCTGCCCGACCAGCACCTATTTACCGAGTAAAATATTCGCGCAATGACTGTGTGTACATATCTGGAATGAAACTCGGTAGCCTCCTTGAGGAACGCCAAGCCAGGATGTGTATCGACCACGTCTTGCACGAGCGGCGCCAAGTCCTCCGGCAGTATGTATTGGCGAAAACGTTGACCGCGCGATAAAATGTAAACGAAACGTGAGGCGGCATCATGACAGTAAACATTCATTCTAAATAAGTATAGCAATATTTTCGGTTTATTCATAAAGATATTTCGATAATACATATGTCGGCTAGTAATTACTGTTTCCAGAATTCCACGAATCTTTGTCGCTCCACCAGTCCAGAATTGCCCTGCTGACAGAAAACCATCACCGGCATGCGCCAATAGAAGGGCAGACCGCAGATTTTCAAAATGCGCGGCAGCTCGTCTTTGGTCACCTGATTGTTCGGAAATGAGTCAAACGCGCCCAAAATGCCGCGCAAAGTGCGTTCCAATGCGATTTGTGGCTGAGGCTTGCCATGTGGGAAGTAGAATCTGTCAAAGTGAGAGAATATTTATGTGAAGAAGTATACATTTCGGGGCGCTTAAAGTGTTCACTAACCTAGGTATGTACGCTGTTTTGGTGTTCCGAATTTCCCGTTGTATAGAATTATGTTCGGGCGGCGGAGGCGGTGTTGAATGCAATTTAACCTACAGAATAGTGAATAAAGTTTAATTTGCGATATTTAAGGAGAAATTAAGATTAGATATATAACTTTGAAAGAATATTGGCGTTTTGGTTTTTGGCGAAAACAACACTTCTTCTAGTTTAACAGTACTTAAACCACAGACTAAACTAATAAAATTTTAGACTTTTCGATTAAATGTCATTATGAGTAGCTATGATGGAAATTTTCATTGTTTGCCTATTTCACATACACCCTTTTTATATAAAATTGCATAATTTCATATATCTTATATTTAGATAGTAAATATGGTATTGTATTTTATTGTCATATTCCAATATTATTAGAACCGACGTAACATAAAATTCTTTGTAAAACGATTATTATAATAAACAATAAAAACTTACAATTCGATATTTACAGTCTAGGCCAGGGCTTCCCAAACTTCGATGGTACATAATAAAATATGTGAAAAATTATCAGAGCATAGCACAAAATTTTTCCATATACACTAATCGGAACAAATAAGGTGAAAAAAATTTAGATATATGAACTATAGAAGCTTTAGCGCCATCGAGTACAATTTTAGTTTATATGCCAATATCTTGAGACGATTCTTGCGCCTACTGTCGTGAGGCCTGACGAATCAGAATTCCAAATTTTCATTTGCAATTCACATCATACATTTCTGAAATTTTTATAAAATATCGGTTGCACTCTGTTTAATATTATGAACATATTATCAGCGCCGAGCTGAACCTTTGAACTTATCTATTAATTGTCATTGCGTATGAGCGCAGTATAAGAGATCTTAACACAGAAGCACCCTAAAGTGCTAGTATATTGAAGTTCAATATTAAAAATGTTTGTGTACCCCTGGTTTAATTTGAAAAATTCGCCATTAAGTGCATACTTTGGCCAATTAGTATTTTTTTTGGTTGCGGAGGCGGCGGATCTACATTTTTTGGAATAAAATAAAACATACATATGTTTTCGTATATCTATATGTTCGAAAAGGAAATTCCGAGCCGAGAGCATTGAATTATCGTTGAATTCGTGCATATCCACCTACACTTGCGTGCCGCGACCGAATACCTGTGTAAATATCACACTATCGCAGAGATATTTATGTGTGAGTGTACCGACACACGAATGGCAACGAGCGCTGTTGAGTAATTGAATTAATTTCAACAAAAAAGTAAAATAATAACATCGCATTTGATAGAATTTGTGTATAGACAAAAAACGCTTTTACTTATTTATGTAAAATACCTTAAAACAATTTGAACTTAAACAAAAAATCATCTGAAACACATGCCGATATTAATGAGCTAGCCACACATACACATGTACATACATATATGTATGGATCTATATTAAATAAAATATTTTAAAATTGTTTACACATTTTCCCACTTGTTTGAATCAAGAAAAGAACTAAATCACCCTATTATTGTTTGGCTTTTTAAAATAGCAATACATAAATATATAAAAACATATGTATGTACATATGTAGTTTAATATGTGAAAATAAATATTTCGCAATGAGCGACAATTATAACGCATGCCATAAAATTATGCTTAGCGTTGTTGCATGCTACATAAATTGCCGGCTAGCCGACAACCGACGACATCGACGCTACACGAAAGCAGAGAACGTAAATGAATGAAAATACTCATCAACATTCTCTGACGAAAGCGAGTTGTGTCCAACGATCAGCATATACTGCATATACTCGTACATAAAAATGTACATATGTACATATATATTATATATATAAAATTGTTTTAATATTTTTTGCGAAAATTTGCATTTTACACAAAACCATGCAAAATTTCGGTTTAATGAACTTGTCGCCATGGTAAAAAGGGAAATTTCATTCACACAGCCGCACATATTTTTATTGCGCAATAAAAGGAAACGCTTACACACATTGACGCATATTGAATGTACGCATACAAATTTACAGTTGAGACCAAATAAATATTATGAAAGCAAAAAACAGATTATATGGTAGGAAAAAATTGTAATTACGCTAAATCATTTCATTTTTTATTAATACTTCGATAAGACAAACAACATTTCCATAATAATCGCTGCAAAGGCATCAAGAAGAAATCACGTGCAATCGATAACAGAAGTGGATCGAAATTGTGTAAGCAGAAGAAATGAAGCATTTTAAAGTGACATGATCAAAATTGTTATCTGAGTCTAATGCGGTAAGATTTTGCGTGTAAGTAGGCAGCAATTCTGAAATTGTTCTAAATATATTTGGTAAACTTTAAAACATCTTATTTCAAAAAAAGAACATTTTTAAATTAAAAGAGTGCTCTTGCAAAAAAACAACAAATAAGTAATGGGCCAAGAGTTGTAAGAAAACGTAGACATAAAAAGAAATAAATTAATTAAATAGTCGAAAGTCAAGAAAAAGCTGGCACTTCAGAATAGAATACTTAGCGCCCGTGTGAAATTCGAAAATAATATATAAATGTATTGAAGTAGCGTGATCTATACAAGTGAATACCACATTAATGTTCGCTAATTGTGCTTCAAACGCGTTAAGAAAAATGAATGAAGAACTTTATCCAATAATATATTAGTAACAACAGCCTTCTGTTCTAACTGTTCTATTAAAGTTAATGGTTATCTAGATCAAGTACGATTAAAAACATGTTGATACACAATATAATCTATATTGGCATCGATATATGAAGCATATTACAGGTGATCGAAAATTTAAAAACATCGATATAAGGGAATAAAATAGCGATATTTCGATGTATTAAACGTTTTTTATGAAATTTATTAATTTTCTAAGCTTTATTTAGTGATATGTTTTTAAAAGATTTTTTTTGATCTGCTCTCAATTTAACCTGATTCAAGATTTTCGTACGATACCAAGCAAGCCTGATAGTTCAGAGCAATTTAAGCATATATAGAGGCTTTAAAATATATTTAAATACCTACTTAAAATAAATATCGATATTTATAGCTGAAACATATCGAAGTATCTATCCAAAGTAGTATCTTGCAAAACTATTGTTATTTTTAACGGGTGATCCAAATAGAGGTACTTGTTTCAATAGCCTTTTTTGACAGATCACGCGTGCGTTGTATCAAGCTGTCATGCTAATTTTGTTCAGTATTGTTTGGCATTTCATCATGAAAAGAGTTACGCCTGAACATTTTACAAATTGTTCAACTTTATTACGAAAATTCACGTTCTGTAGAGAATGTGTTTTGCGTGTTTCGCTCAACTTATGGTCAACATAATCGGCCTACTGAGCGCACTATACGCAACACCATCACCCATCTTGAGACCCAGCATTCATTATTGGATAAGGTTCGATCGAATAGACCACATCCAGCATGCAGTGGAGAATATATTGCGGCCGTAGCAGAGAGTGTACACGAAGACCGTGGAGATTCGATTCGGCGCCGTTCCCAGCAACACGAACTGACGTGTGGAACGACTTGGCGCATTTTACGTCGAGATCTTAAATTGAAAACGCGCAAAACACAGCTTGTGTAAGAACTGAAGCCGCTCGAGCTTCCCAAGCGACATTGCTTCGCAAGAAGATCCGACGTTTTCGAGTCAAATTTTTTTTATAAAGAAATTTAAATTTTAAAAATAAACATAATTTTTATATGGCAATACTCTTAGCTTGTATTTTTGTAGTATTTGTATATAAAAAAACTATTTCCGTAAAATCGTCATTTTGGACAATACTTGTTCAAACACTTGTTTGCTACAACTCCAAAGACGAGTGATTATGCAGGTTTTCAGCAGTAAAATAAAATAATATCGAGTTCATAGGGAATATTTTTAGTTATTCCAATTATCTCTATTTCTATTTTTTATTTTGGTTTATTTAATTAAAATATTATTTTATTTATCTGTCAAACTTGCAAGTATGCTTTGATATCAAAAGTCCTTCCTCATTAAAAGCTCTTTGTAACAATTATCTGACCACAACTGTAAACATATTTGCAAACAACGATTTTCGTAATTACTTAAGTGAAATCTTCTACTCGCCAGCTACTACATAAATGTTATAGCGCATGTTTTCGGTTAAACTTAAGATCATTCGGCACGTCACAGTTAAAAAATATATACTAATATCAACAAAAATAACTACAAGGGTCAGAGTGTGTACATCCCAACAAAGGAATCAACTAAATAAATATTCAGCTACGTAAATGTAATGTGGAAGCAAAAGCAAATCTTGAAAGATAGGGAATATTGCGAATGAGTGATTTTCCGTTTTTCCGATTATTCGATTTTCAAATTTGGCGTTTTACAATTTTAACGTTTCACTAGTCATTGGCGATTTGCACGAGGCGCAGACATTTCGACATTTGTTTGTATGGCCCCCAAGGTGGGACGCTAATGCGTAGGTGCACCATTTATACACTTACACATTCGCTTATACATATATGTATGTATGTATGTGTGTGGGTTATATTGACGGGCGTTTGTCTAAATATATGTTGATTTATATAGTAAGATTACAAAAATATATTCACAACTTGTGTAGATAAAGCGAATTGCCAATAAATCACAACGTAAAGTAACAAAAATTTGTACTTCAAGCTAAACACACACAATAATATATACAAATACCAATACATATTCACGTATTTACGTTTAGATTATTCTATGAAGGTGTACACAGAGCAATGCAGGCAAATATACATATGTCGTCGGAGATCGTGGCAATGAATAGTGTTTTCTTAGTACGAAACAACAAATTGCATTTCTGTCAGTTTTAATTATTCTTTAATTATTTGGTGGAAAAAAGTTAATTTGCTTGCTTTCATAAGCAATTTCGCGCACTTTTCGCACGGATTCCTATAAGCATGACCGATTGGCGTAGCCTTTTTGATAAAATATCATTTATGTATGTCTGCTCGTTTTTCATCTTTTCACAGCACAGAAAGAACGGAACGCCGAAATTAGTTTGGCTGTCAACCGAAATTGAGAAGGATTAACAGTAATCCATTGCAAACTTAATATTCAAATACAATATAGTTTTGAAAGTCATTTAAGGAAATCAGAATTTTCTACAGAATTTCGGCCTACAAATATTTATTACTGTATTTCTGTCACTCAGTACAACTTATGTCTCGAAACTAATAACGAAGTTTGTTTACAGTTTAAATAATTATCGTTGTAACCAATATATAATATATGGTAGGTACCTAAGATTATAATTATATAAACCTATACAGTTTTTTATATTTAACTGACTGTATGAAAGATAAGTCTTATCTGTCATCATGCTGAAACACACTAAATTGCGTGTTATATTTTTCAAGATATGCTTTAAAAGTGCTACCAGATAGTTCAAAATTTGATATACATATATATGTAATATGAAGAAGTAAGCTTTTCGATTTTTTTATTTGGAAGAAAATCGAAGTGAGTCTTTAACCAGTAACGTTGATCTGAGAGATCCTTCGATCATACACGGTGTCTTATTAGAGAGATTAACTTATTAAATATAAAACACTCACATAATATTATGGAATTTTTTGTTTGGGTTAAAAGGCTAACTAATATAATTTATTAATGGTTTATAAAACGGAATGAGGTAGAATTTCATTAATAGAAATATTGACTCGTCAAAGTGTGTTGCTTAATATTGAAGAATTTGAGGTGACGTACTTTTCATAGATGGACCAATTATATGTGTCCGTTTGGTTCCAAAGATTCTACGTAACTTACCGACATATATTTTTAAAAAACATTTATGAAGCAAACCAGAACGTGTTGCTCTGATACTTATAATTTGTTTGCTTTATACAAAGAATAACATATTCTAACAAAAGCAGAACTCCAATCAAACTAAATTATGTACACTAGCGAATCCAAAATTCTAATTCTAATAATTAATTCATTTATTTTAAGGAGCACACGTAGCGTGTAATGAAAAGTGATTTCATATTTCGATAGTTTATACCCTTGAAAATAACATACTAAACTTTCAAATCAATATCTCAAATAGTTTTTGAAGTTACAGCCTTCTAAAGTGTAGCCGATCAGTTCAATCAGCTCCATCAAATTATCTTTAAACGCGTTTTTCTCGTAACACGTTTTTTTCGAATTTGCTGCAGTGACAAATGAAGACAAATGACCCGATGAAATTTTTTTCTGCCTGTTCTGTATATAATTCTAAATACAATGACTTATTGGTTTTTTGATTCAAAATAGAAATTCAACTTTTTTTTAAAACGCCGCCATTTTGTCAATGTTTGATTTTCAATGGCCGGAATCACTGCCGCAGTGGAGGCCGTTTTTTGGGGCCGTTGTAGATCTCGTACAACTCAAAAAATATTTAATTTTCTTAAATTTTTTGAAAAAATGCATTGTGTTTTTTCAAACATGTGTAAATGTACCCAGAAAATTTCAGAAATCGACACAGCATTTTTTCTTAATGCCCAAAAAGCGACGTTGTTTAGGCTGTCACACTAGGTGTGCCCCTTAACAAAAAACAAAAAGCGCAAACCACAGCAATTAGCAGCGAAATTAAACTAAAGAAGATCACTTGAAATCAATCAATTAAAATAAGAGAGCCGTATAATAGCAAAGCAAACTAATATTCGTTCCATTGTACAGAGATTACGCTAATCTCTTGCCTTATCGTATTATGTCTTATGTCGATTTTTTATATTTTTATTTCTTTGCTTTCACACATAATACTTTTGCTATATTTTTTTTTAGTCTGAGAAAAAAAACGTTGCATTAACACAGCCGCGTTACGGCGGCAACCTTAAAAATTGTCGGCACGCATTTGAGGTTCGGCTGCAGTGTTAATTACGTGTACACTGTGCAATTTTGAGATGTTGGTGGTGAAATCGGTAAAAATAAATTAAAAGTTTTAGTGTGTTTCTGTGATATGGTCTGGGTTTCAATAAACAAAGTAACTGCTTCTTCTTCACTACAGGTCTTTTAATTTAGTTTATTAGCCAATTGGTAACATGGTATGGAGAAAACTGCTAATTGACTCATTTAATTGAATATCTAAAACACCTACTAAAGTGCGTGTACCAATTTCTTAATTAACGATCTTTTAAAACAAAAAGGATTCCGGATTTCAATACAATTTATCATTCATCGCCAGCTTCGCTTCGAGAGTAATTGAGAAAGAGAAATATTGAAAACAATGCTAATAATAAATAAATTGTCTAATTACCACAGATGTTCTTTAAAGCTTGAAATTAGAATTTTTTCAGCCGAGATGGCATCAAAAAAATATATTTAATTGACTTAAAAAAAGTAGCTAAATCTTTAACAAAACATATAGCGAATGTTTAGAGGGATAATGATCTCATCACCATTTTTATAGCTCTTTGCAGCAGCTTTCTTTTTTCAAATATTTTTTTTAAAAAGGCAAAGATCCAGAATACAGATAATATGCATATAAGAGTCTTCTGATTTGACAGTTGTCCGTTAAACAATTGTCAAGTTTTGCCATATGTCATTTATAGGCGAGAAAGAAATTGTTAAATTGACAGAAAATTACGTGCAATTTAAAAGAAATTTTTTGAAAAAAACATTCATTAACCTCCACGCTGTTGCACAGTGTAGCAATGTGATTTACTGGCCACTTTATGCATTTCGCGCACCGCCTGCCTCGCTTCACATTGTTTCATCATGTCGGTGCTTTGCGTTGTTGCTATTGTTTTTGTTTTTCATCGCTCTATTAGATAACCGTTTTGCAGTGTAGCGTTAGAGGAAAATATTGAAAATCCGTTGTGATTTTATGACGAGTCAATTTTCATTTTTTAACAGTATTTTGCACCTGAACGTCTTACATACATACATACATTGAATAAGCGCACACACACACACAATCAAAGCTACATATGTAGATATGTATATAGATGCTAACCTTCTAGGCGCACGGCGACGTTAGTGATAATTTACTCACCTTGAGCAGACTTTTTGGTGGCGCATCCGCTGGATCGGGTCTTTTTATATTCAAAAATGAGTTCCGCACATCCGGACACTTCTCGAACATAAGTACACGCTCTGCAACCGAGCCGCGCGTAAGTATCGGTCGACCAACTAGTTGAGCAGATAAATTCTTGTGGTTAATATTCAAATTTTCAAAGCGCTGCTAAATCTTTATATGTGAATACTATGTATGTATATTGTAAGAATACTTTACACGGCCGCTTTACCATATTTATCCTGTCCATTGATCAGCGTGCGTCCAGTTTTGGCAAATTTAGATGGTGTTGTTGTTGACGCGCCACTTGTTGCTGCAGGCATAGCTGCCATACCGTTCTCACTCGTAGCGCCACCAATTGTAGAGCCTGCCGTTGTTGCTCCTGTACCGTTGCTGTTAGCAGTTCTTGTATCCTTTTTTGCGCTCGACTTGCTGCCAGTTCGATGTTGACTAGCGCCACTACTCAAGTGATTAGTATGTGTATTCGTATTGTTGTTGCTGTCGTTCTTATTATCCTCCTTAATGGTGGGTGCTTTGATTGATTTGTTGCCACTACTGCTGACAGTTGCAATCCGCGTGCTCGGTGTGGCGCTCGTCGTTGTGGTGGTACTTTTTTCGCCGCTTTCTTTGCTCGATTGCTTGTGGCCACTGACACTAATGGCACTTTGATTCGATTGATTATCGGCTGGCGTTGATTTCGAATTGCTCACTTTAGCAGCCACCGTGCTCCGTTTGCCGTTCGTGACCGTTGTAATGGTCGCGCCGCCTTTGCCGCCGCTGTTGCTCGCACCCGCGCCACTGGCACCGCTATTTTTATCAGCATTGACACTTTCTGTTGCAATAACACCAACAACATCAGCAACACCACAGTTGCCAACAATTGTGATAGCCGCTTTATTGACACTTCCTCCGCCGCCATTGTTGACAGCAATCACTTCACCCTTGCCACCACCGCCACTGCCGATATTGTTGCTTTTGGGCGTCAGCTCTCCGCGGCGTGAATGATGATTAGCGTTATGTCGCGCGGCTTCGGCATCGGCGCCTGTCGTTGCTGTTGTATTAGTTGTATTAGCCTTTCTCGACTGCTTCGTACCGCTGTTTGTTGCAGTTTTCGCTATTTGTGTTGTTGTGGTAGGTGCATTTTCCTGCAGCAGCTCTTTGATTTTGCGCAAATTATGAGTCTGCAACTCGGATAAATCCGACAAATCTAGATTTAAGTCTACCGTTAAGTTTATATCCAGTGGTGCGGAATTCGAAACGTGCGGCTTACTGCGCCCAATAGTGGTAGTGTTAGCTGTGGGGTTTGTGGCAGAGCTCGTGCCTCGCGATTTAGTTGACGTTGCTGCGCTACTGCCACTGCTAGTTGTGTGTTGTTGTTTCTCATGTTTTAGTGCTAGCGCGGACTTATTAGTTAACGATGACGTCGCCGCACTGGAAGACGTGGCTCCAGTCGTTTTTCCATTGGATTTTGTAGGCTTCTTTTTCAGAGTATCTACAACATCAACGCCAGGTGTATCGACATTTTTCAACAGAATAGCCGATGTCGTTGTGGGCGACTTCGGTGACGTGACGCTCCTTTTTGTTGTAGACGCCGTTGATTGCTTCAATTTACCCACCATATTAGCATCGATGTTTGGTTCTTGTGTTGTGTTTAAAACTACACCACTTTCGACACTACCGACACCAACGAGTCCACCAACACCACCGATACCAATAACCCCGGCACTCACAACACCACTACCTAATCTGTTAACCGCGCTACTGGTATTCGTGTTCGTCTTACCCGCGCGCTGTTCCTTATCCTTTAGCACAAATGTATTGACCAACTTCTGCAGCCCCTCCGCTGTTTGCTCGTCATCGACCGCAAAAAGGTCGCCCGCGTCACTTGCACCGTCGCTTGTTGCAGCTGCAGCCGCTGCATGCGTGTAGAAACCTAACAATTCAGTCGGTGCTAGTCCACGACTCTTCCACGTATGGTATAACGCATCGGCGTGCTCAGATATCTTTTTTGAGATCTCCTCGATCTCTCGTGTGGGATCGTCGGAGAGCACGACGCTCGTCTTGCCACTACCAATCTGACTACCAACTGTTTGTTGTTGCTGCTGCAGTGTGGACTGGTATAGATGAGAATCAATGTAGGGTTTCGTTTTTACTGGATGCGTTATTATGGTCGGTTTGTTTGTGGTCGTTATGGAGGCGGTTTTAGGTTTTGTGGCGGCGTTCGGAGGCGCTGCTTGCATATTTGCCCGCTGCGTAGGGACTGCGGCAGGGAATTGGTGGCACAGTATAATTTGTTTACAAAAAATATTTATTACTTATTTATTGCTCTATATTTGTTTCCGCGTTATATATAAAATGCCACACGTTGCAAGTTTAGTTACGTAGCAGCAAAATACACTTCGCACAAACTCTAATTTCACGGCGCGCAACGCGGAACAACGCACCAGCGTTCGATTGCTGATTAGATGGCAAAATGTTGCGAAATTTTACGGTATCGGCACGATTCGCACAATATGCCAGGGTGCGCTACTCTCTTGTTGTCTGTTTGTGTTTCCCCTTTGGTGGCGCGGCGCTTGCTTCATATCTTCCCGTCGACGTTGTGACAACAACAGCGGCAACTACGACAACGTCGTCGACGAAAGTGGAGATGTTGTAGGAAACAACGACCAAGTCGAAACGCGCGGCGCCTAAGCTAACGGCGTTGCTATCTACACAGGCTAATGCCGAACAAAGCGGCAATGACGCAGACGTGAGCGACGTCAAAGACGCTCTATACATTCACCAAATGCCGTATGAGTACACTCACTATACTTGTGCTTCTTCTACTACTTCCACTTTTTTCCTTCTAGAAATCTTCCTCTTCTGCTTCTTCTTTGCGTTTCGGTCCTCCAACTGCTTTACCGCAATGTGTAGTGTATGGGCGCGCGTGTATGTGTGTGCGCACTCTGCTATGTTTTTCGTATACTGACTGACTGCTCCGTATTGCGAACGGCGGCACGTCTATTTTTAAACACCGATTTGCCTATTTTGTAGAGGTTTTTGTACTAATTTCACTACTTCTCGAATGCGTATGCAGCATTCGTAATCGCCGCGAGTCGCTTGAGTTTACTTAACTTTAATCAATTTTCCAATGCACCGTGTTCGCTTGAATAAAAAATTATGAGCTTGTTTATTTTTAATTTCCTTTTGCACAAAACTTTTCACATTTTTGCTTTTTATTATTACTAACTTTTTTTTGAACCTCGCGCGCTACCAAAATCGAAAAAACATGCTAAATATGACATTCAACCCCAGCGATCGCCTATAGAATTCTACCTTGTGAACCGGAGGAACCTTCACACTTTCGTTAAAATTTAATTTTGCTTTCCGTAAATTTTTCGAAGAGTACTCGCACACGCTCCGCGAACGCACGAACTGAATTGACTCTCCGCGTTGAAGCAGCGTTCGTAGTTGTTGACGATCACTGCATAGCATACAACAACAATTGTGAGCGCCGCAGAGCATCCTCACAGTTTTCCAAATCGGCAAATACGCTCGGAAAACGGGCCTAAGCATGTCTGAGTGTGGGTGTTCGCTCACTAAATGATGGGCGGAAAAAGTTTGTATGTGTTAAAGAGACACAGCTTATGGGAAGCGTGAAGAAAATCTTTTGTAAAAACGTTGTAAAACAAAAAGTTATGAAAAATTGTCCTTAAAAAGAGTTTTTTGCTACAGTTTTGAAAAAGGAAACTACAATAATTTTTGCTACTTTACGTACATCATAATTCGTAGTGATCTCATGCGCATGAAATGTCGAAATTTTGTAAACAACAGATATATAATATTTACGTTTGCTCGACGCTCAATTACTTTTCCAATACAAAATTTCGTGTTCGGAGAACGTTCAAAAGCGCTGTCTCATTTTAATGATTTTTTTTTGTTTCAGATATATAGTTTATTATTAGTATTACACATATTATTCGACAGCGTTTTCAAGTGTTTCAAGTGTTCCGAACGCTTGAGTCTGCAGCGCTTGCGTTTGAGAAGCAAAGATCTCCCATCGTTCACGCTATTCAGCACGCCGTTCTCACTTCAGTTCTCAAAAAGAAACATATACATTTTGTTGCTGAAGGAAAGTAATTTCTTTTAAACACATGTTTATATTTGTATGACTCAACCGCATGTTCATTTCTCTCGTGCGCTGTTAAAAAAATGCACTCATTCCACTCTCAATCTCTCACAGTGTTCACAGAGAACACATCAAATTAAAAAGCGCAAAAAATATTGAAAATATGCCACACTTCCAACCCCATTTTTCTTTCTGTGGACCACTTCCAAGTTGTTACTTTGGCTACTTAAGTATTTGACATCAAATTGCAATCACTCGCCCGAATACAACTGTCAGTGCGTTTCTTTCGTATTTTCCAATAAAACCTGAGCGCAGTCGTTAGTGGCTTTCTAATGTGTTTTCTTTGTCCAATATTTGGCTTTTGTCAGCTTAATTGGCAATAATCTGCTTTGTTTTCATTTGAGGGAGAGACCCGGAATTCTTACACGAGCGCTTGCAATTCTATAGAGCGCATAAACCTGAAATGCATTTATTAGAATGTCTATTATAATTATACTTTCTAAACATAACACATTCAAATAGTTTTGTAGAAATATGAGGGTGGTGAGAAAAAGCAATAATTTTTATGTGCACTACATTAAATAATCGGCGCTATTCCAAGTTTCTATAGCTGATATATCGGTCAATGTGTAAGATATGTACATAATTGAAATTCGAAGAGAACCCTTTTCTGATAATAGTATGTCTGAATGTTAAAAATGGGTTGAATCGCATCAATACTTCCCTTAGCCCGCTTATACCTAATAAAAATATTTTCGAGCTTCCGGTTGATTTTATACCGCATATATCGGCCAATATGCGCGTTATCTTAGAAAAAGTAAGTGAACATGTTTTTCTATTAATTGTGTATTGTTTCCGCCTAAAATGGATAAAAACGGGTAAAAACTTGCCTTTGCTCCCAAATAGTTAATATCAGGATTCTTAAACATCCGGTTGACTTTACTCCTTATATATTGGCGACGGTATGTGAGGTATCTTAATAAAACACATACAACACTTATTTCTGTTAAGAATATGAAGTAATGCCAAAAATAGATAAAATCGATTCAGTACTACCCCTATCTCCCATATACGTCATATAAAATTTTCAAACTTTCAATTAGCTTTACATCATTTATATCGGTCAATATTTAAGATATCTTAGCAAAATTAACTAAAGGTATAATATTGGATAAGCTATAGTTTCATGCCGAAAATATGTGAAATTAGTCTACCAAGTTCTCAAACTCCCATATACTACACGTAATAGTTTTCGTTATTCTAAGAAACCTTATCGCGATTTATATTATTTATAACTTGTTTGAAAATATGCTCTAGACTATACCTGAATAATGCCAAAATTTAATGCAACAAGCCCAGACCTTACTCGGCCCCCAATACCCTATATTAAAATGGTAAAAAAGTGTGCTATTTTTACGAAATTAAGTGGACACAAATTAAAAATTTCGTGGTTTAGCGCTGAATATGAATGGAGTTGACCTAAACCAGCTGGCTCTATAAAAGAAAAGCAGTAAAACAGGCAATGTACCTTGTCAGTGTTCAGGTGACTCCCGTGCGTCGATGTGATCTGATGTAATAGTCACGAGGTGACCTCACGAGAAGCTGGCTCTATATAAGTAAAGCACGTACTGTGCCTGGTCAGTGCTTAGGTGGGATGTGATTTAGAAGTCATGAGGTGATTTCAAAGGAAGCTGGCTGCCAGCTGGCTCTATAAAAGAAAAGCATTTTCCCATAGAATGTAAACAAAAGTTGTTGACTTAGCTAAATGTAGAAAAAGGTTGTGGACTTAGCTAAATGTAGGAAAAGGTTGTGGACTTAGCTTAATGTAAACAAAAGAGTTATTGATTTTATTATCATAAAATGTAAACAAAGGGGTCATTGACCTCGGCAAAATGAAAAAAAACAGGTCATTGACCCCATAACATAAACAAAAGGGTCATTGGCTTCATAAAATATAAACAATAGGGTCGTTGACCCCAAATATAAACAAAGGTAGTTGACTTGGCTAAATGTAAAAAAAAGTTGTGGCTTTGGCTAAATATAAACAAAAGGGTCGTTGACCTCATAAAATGTAAACAAAGGGGTCATTGACTTCGGCAAAATGTAAACAAACAGGTCATTGACCTCATAACATAAACAAAAGGGTCGTTGACCCTATAAAATGTAAACAATAAGGTCATTGACTCTAAATTTAAACAAAAGTTTTGGACTTGGCTTAACATTAACAAGAGGGTCATTGGCCTCATAAAATGTAAACAAAACGGTAATTGACCAATTTTTTTCTAAGAGAAGTGATCGGTCAAAATCAAGTCCTTGTATGTACTTTTTTATTTGACTTGGATTATTTTGCAGATCGGATCACTATAGAACATAGCTGCTATACAAACTGCTCGATCAATATCAAGATAAAGATCTTTTTATATCCTTTTATGCTATAAGAAATGTACATGCGAAGAATATTAGAGCTTCGTTGCAGCTGAAGTTAGCATTTTTTCTAGTAAATAAAATTTTGCTACACCTAAAGGTATTAAACCTGCTTTGCTCCTTGCAAGTTGCCAGAGTATAAAATGTTCGGGTACATCCGAACTTATCAATTCCTTGCTTTTTTTCTAAATAATTTTATTTGAGAGGTCTGACTGAAGACTACTGCATTTAAAAGTCATTTCAAAATATGATTAAAAATATAGACTACTAAAACTGCGTTTGATAGGAGGCATGAGAGCAATACTATAAACAAAACTGCGCATGCTTTGTAGGAGCGAAAGCTGAGCGCAAACTGTGAGCCTACCGTTTTGAGGTTATTTTCATGTGAGTTACTGAAACAAATGTATTAAAATTTAAAAATTTCCCAAGAACATCTTTTAGATTAGGCTACCAGAGGATATTTAATATGTATTGATACATTGGGAATATATAATAATTACAAATTTTCGACAAGTGAGATCAACTATTTTGAGATTAATTTTATATTTTCCGTCAAAAGAGCAACAAAACTGTAGAATTTCGTTTAATCAAACTAAAAGGTGTCAAAGCAGACAAGTAAGAATTATTTTGATTTTTTTTGTTTATTTTTTTTCATGTCGGATGCTTTTGGAACACCTTAATGCATAAATAAATGACTTGCATATGCAATTGTATTTACTAAGTGCGAGACATAGCTAACTTTTTGAAGACTTCGAAGGTGTGTCGGCCATATCCTATTCTCGGACCTCAAAATGCTTGCTGGAAAAAAAATTTGCGAAACACTGATGAATTTTTTGAGAACATTTATCATTGTGACAATATACTCGAATGTTAGTCGTTACCACCGAAGTCCAAGTGATATGCGATACAACTCTGTTTCTAGTTGACCATATATTTCCTAAATAAGAGGAAAGATTAATCAAGTCTTCACCAAAACTATATGAACTAGTGTTAATGTGCATACAAAGATACTTATGCAGCCTTCGTAACTCATACGCACTGTTGTACTAAAAGCCAGTTATTGATTTAAGACAACGGAAATCGATCTTAGTCGTTGTATAAGTGATAATTGCTTATTATTACTTATTTTCTTATTTTAAACAATGATAATGAAATATTTAATAATAATAATGCATACATACAGACACATATGTATAAATATATTTACTCGTGTTGGCGAAACATTGAAACACTTTTGCGAAGCCGTTGAAATGTTGTATTGACATTGGCATCGGGCGAAAAATGTACCGTTAAAAGAAGGTATACAAACAATAACCCAAAATAATCGTCAAGGTGGTCAAAGTCGGTATTTAGCATGTCTACACATTCATATTTACTAAAAATATTTACAAAACTGCAGCGTTACGTTTTTATGCAAGTACTTGTTTGTGTTTGTATGTACAAAATATGGGAAGAAATGTCGTAAAGGTGTAGGTATAATAAGCTTAGAAGAAATGTATGCAATTTTTACAAAATCTCACACCTACTAGGGCAATTCGCTAAGTTCGTGTTTTTTTTATTTTCAACTTTAAATGTCGCGCTGTTTTCTATAGCACCGCCGCCTAGGTACATAAAAAAAGCATTTCTAAGCTACACGTATAACTCATAAATAATATCTTTGTGAATGTCGTTCTGAGTGACAAATTAACACCCATCCTAAGTGAAGAGAATCTCTTTCTTGGCTAACCCACTCGAAAATACTCGATTTAAGATCATTCCTTTATATGTTATTAATTACTCATCACTAAGTAGAGACAGAAGTTTTAAGCCGATAATAAAATAACAACAAATATCCGCTACGTTGTTACTTACTGATCCTAACAGCGTTAGATCGCTAAAAGAATAGCTCTGGTCGGGTGAAAGTTCGTGTTAATGCCAGTAGTGTAGAACCGTAATAAAAATAAACATTCAAAGCAAATTTCGAAGAGGTGGCATAATCGAACACTTCATTAATGATTCAGTTTCTTTGTTTTACAAAAAAAATTTAACTTAAACACTTGCTAACTCATCAAACCTCCCTCGTATGTTCCTACAAATATCATCAAGAAGTGTAAATTACTAATTGTAATCGTTATTACCGTCATTATTATGTATACCCACATGAGTAGCATTATCTCAATTGTCATTATCATCGCCATCGGTTTAAAACATTTTTCGTTTTTTTTTTTCAAATATTTTTAAATTTAATTGTACTTACACACACACATATACTCACGCGCTTTCTGCCAAAGCAAACGTGCCGCTTAGTTCATAATTTAATTTAGTGAACTTATTAGCGTGGCTTGGGTCTTTATGTGAGACTGAAGGACCGACGAACCTATAAATGCAATAACAGCATGCGGATTGCTCGCAGGTTCTAACGACAGATCGCCGCGAACAGTCCACTCCGGGAATTATCCCAAAAAATAATAAAAAAAAATTTTACTTTAAAAGAAATGAGATTTATTCTTTAATTTGCATCTTTTTTGAACGTAAATTAAATTTTAAAAAATCAAACACGGTCTTTCGGCAAGAAAGCACATAAAGGCTTGTACACCAATACCCACCGAACAACAATTCAATAATGGATAGGTATGCGATGGTGAATTTATATATTATATATAAACAAAATTACAAAAATAGTATGTTTTGAAAGTGATTGTGTGTACTGTTTTCGAGACTATCGGTGGATCATCATTGTTTGCTGTAGAATATATTGTCGAACGCCAAAAGCTTGTCTCGAAACAAAGAACTGGAGCATTTCTCGTGGGTTTGGGTTTATTTCGTATTAATTGGATTGTATTTCACTTCGAACTTGCAATCTGGAATTTTCATTCATTCGCATATTAGATTAACTATGATACCAATGCAACCTTAAATTACAGTATTAAAAAAGTGTACAACACGAGACCATTTTCACGGAATTGTCCATAATTTCTATGAATAATCTTTTAAAAGATTAGAAAAGGTAGTAAAAACAGTTAATCTACAGTTATTTCTGCGATTGTTTTCTCTTTTACATTGGAGTTTCCAAAGCAGAATTCCCGGCTAAACCTCAATCAACAGATAATTTGCTTTAAATACCTGCTATATAGAACGATATTTGGTCACGAAAAATAAAAAACGAGGCTTAAAAGTCTTGTTAGAGCGAAATGAAGAGAGCAAGAGACAAAGAGAATCATTTAGTCAATCTTGATACAACCTAGATACCTAGAAACCTCGTGAATTCGAAATCTGATCGTGAAAGAACACAGATTTTCTGAACTATAAATTTTTTCAAAATTAGACCCACTAAAACAAGAAGCTCCCCAAATTTAGATTCTAGACTATTAATACTTGGATATTATTTATTACTGATCTCACTGCCGATTCACTAACTTTTAGCTTACAATCCTTGGGGCCACACTTTGCCGCGCTGTCCAATGGGTCAGTCACAGACAAGGTAAGTAGAGAAACTTCCTTTCGAAATAGGTTCCCACAAAAACCATTTAACACACTTGCTTTCTATCTTTACACAGGTCACGCCCGATATGGCGCACTTAATTCACCCGTACTGGAATCAATTCCCAGCTATGGATCCCATCTGGGCGAAAGTCCTCACGGCGTACATGATCATCATCGGTATGATTTCATGGTGTGGAAATGGCGTGGTGATTTATATATTCTCAACGACGAAATCATTACGTACACCCGCTAACCTGCTGGTCATCAACTTAGCGCTATCTGATTTCGGTATAATGATCACAAATACGCCAATGATGGGTATTAATTTGTACTTCGAAACCTGGGTCTTGGGTCCGGCCATGTGCGATCTATATGGTGGTTTGGGCTCGGCCTTTGGTTGCAGTTCGATTTGGTCGATGTGCATGATCTCTCTGGACCGTTATCAAGTCATTGTCAAGGGTGTAGCGGGACGACCAATGACCATTAAGTTGGCGCTGGTAAAAATCGCCTTCATCTGGGCAATGGGCAGCATTTGGACATTGGCGCCGGTCTTCGGCTGGAGCAGGTGAGCTGCGCGTGCTAAATGAAGTGGTAAATCATGCTTAACACTTACTTTTAAAGGTATGTGCCTGAGGGCAATTTGACATCTTGCGGTATTGATTATTTGGAACGCGATTGGAATCCACGATCCTACTTGATCTTCTACTCCATCTTCGTGTACTATGTTCCGCTATTCTTGATTTGCTACTCTTACTGGTTCATTATTGCTGTAAGTGCGCGCATAAAAAATGAACTACGAATATTTTCACTACACTTTCTTTCCACTTATCTAGGCGGTATCAGCTCACGAGAAGGCCATGCGCGAACAGGCCAAGAAAATGAATGTCAAATCTCTGCGCTCCTCTGAGGATGCCGAGAAGAGTGCTGAGGGCAAACTGGCCAAGGTGGCGCTCGTCACCATTTCATTGTGGTTCATGGCGTGGACACCATACTTGGTGATCAACTGCATGGGTCTATTCAAGTTCGAGGGATTGACACCACTGAACACCATCTGGGGTGCTTGCTTCGCCAAATCGGCCGCTTGCTACAATCCCATTGTCTACGGTATCAGGTAAGTGTAGCGATATTCAAACCTAACCAATTTGTTGAACTTCAGCTCATCTCTTTTCCTATCTCTCTCTCTGTCGCTCTCTCACACACTACTTTACGCTCAACTAGCCATCCTAAATACCGTTTGGCATTGAAAGAGAAATGCCCATGCTGTGTGTTCGGCAAGGTCGATGATGGCAAGTCCAGCGACGCGCAGTCACAGGCCACTACAAACGAATCGGAGTCCAAGGCATAAATTCTGCGACATTAGCCAGCCGTTAGCGATGAAATGACAGCAACAAATACGATAATAAAAATAATAACAATAGCAACAAAGATAGTGAGAACATCTCGAGCGAATGCCATATTAGCAGCAACAACAACAATGACAACTGTTATGAAAACAACTAGCAGCAACATAATGAAGAGATTCAATTGTTTTATAAGAGAGAGCGAATTTATAAGAATGAAATTGTTTATGAATATAATTATTGACATAGATAAATATATAAACCATAAAGTGCAACGTCATCAAAGACTTAAAAAAATGAAACAAAAAAATAAAAGAGCAAACGAACTTGAAAAAAGTTAATAAAAAATATCTGGATTTCTTTTATTTTTAATTTAAAAATTGAGAGCTGGCTAAGTGTGAACCAAAAGATTAAATAATATTGGATTCATGAATACAATTTTAAAAATTTTGCTAAGCCAGCTCAATATTTGAGCGAACTACTCGAAGTCGAGTCAAACAAACGAATGAAAATTAAACGAAAAAACGTTAACTTTGTACCGAAGCTATAATACACTTCACAAATACAAAGGTTCCTTAAAAGAACTTGATTTTGATCGTTCAGTTAATATGGCAGCTATATGCCATAGTCATCCGATCTGAACAATTCCTTCGGAGAATACATTGTTGCCTTAAATAATAATCCTTACCAAATTTCGTGAAGATATAAAAATAAAGATACATAAAAAAGTTTCACATAAAAGTATTTGATTCCGATTGTTCAGTTTTTATGGCAGCTATATGCTAGAGTGGTCCGATATCGGTTGTATGTCCTTAGTCTCTCATGTCATTAATGAAAAAAAATATGGAAAATAAAATGTATTATAGGGAAGTAACGAAGAAAACTTTGATTTAGATATATTTTCAACTAGAGTTGCTACCCACAATTACCTTTTGTTTAAAAAAAAAACTATTTTTAGTCTTACTATGTCAAAAACAATCTGACTAAAATTGCATTGCATTTCTGTGAAATTTCCCATCATCAAAGTCATCGATTTTTTCACATGCAGTTATTCAACAGTTATTAACACAATTGTGTGCGTTTTTATTTATAACTTTTTGCTTAATTAAATTTTTAACTTGTATAACATTAGAAAATATATATAATTTTTATTATTATTTATTTTTGTTTTTGATTGTAGTATTTTATGCGTTTTAGCAGAGGTTAGTAGTTTTCTTTTTCTTTTCTTTGTGTTTTCCTTTTTTTAATGTATGTATGCAGGTTTGTGCTAAATCTTAAAACGGAACGAAATTGAGAACAACAACAATGATAAAACTTAGTGGCGCTTGGCGCCCACAGATGCATGTAACCAATTACACATATGTACATACACACATACTCGTATAATATGCAAGTATGCATGCGTATTGTATGCTCGATTTGTAATTTATTCACTACAAGAATCATATTCACTCTCAGTTTGTCGCGTGTTGGCATTGGCATTATCATTAGCGTTGATATTATTGTTAGCCGCATTCGCATTTAAAATGCGCTTACGACTATTCTCACTTCTGCTGCGACTACTTCTATAATTTGGTACCGTAGTTTTACTACGCTTTAAGGCACCGGCACTATCAGTACTTTGTACATTGGTCTGCTGACTACAAGTGCTCTCAGCATCAATCATATCCATACCCATGCGTGTTTGATTGATCAACTTCCATAGACGCACTTCGACGCCCAGTCTGAAAATAAGTGCAGCTTACTTAGAACAAATGATGGTTGAATTTTTGTAGTACCAACCTCAATTCCAAACGCATCAGATCTAATTTCTCTGTATTAAACAAAAAATCTTCATAAGTAAAGCCCTCATTCAGGATTATTGTCTGTGAGAATTCGTCGATACCGTGTTTGGTAAGCCATTGCGACAGCTGCTCATCGATTTCGCAAATATCATAAGTACGTTTATTCAATGAGCGACTCAAATTTTGTTGCTTATGTGCGGCGGTGCGCTGACCGCGACGATGGAGATTAGCGAATGGACGTCTGCAAAGGGAAGTGAAGTGAAGAATAATTCTATATAAATATCTATATATTTTCACTAAAAATCAGACAAGCAAAACTTACCTCGCTTTGCGCGAACCAGCAAAGATATGTGCTAACTCTTTGCTTAAGTTGCGATGCGCTTTCAATAGCTGCTTTTGCTGTTCCAAATGCTGACGCTGGAATTGCTTGTCGTTATCTCGCATATCGCGTAAGATACGTACGCATTCGCTCGGTGCAAAGCTGCCGTCATCCTCCTCGGCTAGTGTGACTATAGTCTGTTCGCCGGTTATTTTTTCTTGACTATCCGTTGAGGTGTGTTGTGGATTATTGACGCTTTCGTCATCATTGCAGGATAGCTCCTTGCCAGCCAAGTTGGCGCCAAGCTCTAAAACGTACAAAAATGTGAATAATAAAAATTCAAAAACTATTTCTGTAGCATTTGTCACACACCTGGCGATAAAATCGTGACCGCCGCCTGCACAGCACTTTTTACTAAATTATCCAAGGCGAACATCCAATGTGGTTTAATGAAATGTGAACGCAATACTGTGACTACAGCATCTTGGAAGGCATATAAAGCTAGGTGTAAATGATCGACAGCAACATCGTCGTTTAGTGAGTGTTTCAGTCCCGTTATGGTAGCCTCTAAATTCTTCTCCTTCTCATTCACAATATACTCGCGTAGTCCACGTATCAGAGTTTGTAATTCGGTTTTGGTTATTAACACGCTTATTTTGTGATCCGTTTGTATACGTTCCATCCATAAATTGCAAATTTTATCCTCATCCATGCGCAGCACCTTCGATAATGTAGTGCGACGCTGTGAATCCTTCTTCAAGCGATAGAAACCATCAGTTTCACTGGTTTCGCTTGCATTTGTGCGCAGCGACGGTGTGGAAGCCTCTATTTCGGGAGAAAGCAGAAAGCCGGACGAGTTGCGACGTTCCAAAGCGAATTGTGTGCTCGGCAGCTCATCGATATCGACGGAAGACGCATGTGTTATTCTAAGTATGCACAAAATAATATATAAAACTATAATAGTATTTGCTGTTATAAAATTACAATTCAAAAGCGGAAAACTAACTCTAATTCAGGCGTGGTGGGAGTATTACAGGTGTTGGCGCTGATTGAACTTATAAGGGCAGGCAAGGTAGATTTATTTACTAAACGATCGGCGGGCACTGAGATGCTGCGACCGAATTCCGATGAAGATGGTGGATTCAAGCGCAATTTACGGTGTTTACTACACAAAACAAAATGAAGGAAAAAATTAAAAAATAAAATGTGTACAATACAATGCGCTACAGCATACTCATTCAAGAAGGGGTCTTCCAATAATTGCGCCGACGTAGGCCGATCAGCTACGCTAATCGCAAAACAACGCAGAATGAAATTTCGCGCCATAGGCGACAGCTCCTCCGGTATAATGGGATGTTTTTTATAGTAGCCAACTTTAAACATGGCCGCCTGCGCACAACCCAACTCAATGAACGGCGGTTTGCCCGTTGCCATTTCCACATTCGTACAACCGAATGACCATATATCCGCTGCAGGACCGTAACCACGAAAGCCTTGATCGATCACCTCCGGCGCCATGTACTGCAGCGTGCCGGTAAATGTCTCTGTCATGGGATTAATGCCGGCTAAACGCTTTGACGTGCCAAAATCTGATATTTTCACCACACCACTGTAGGTGTTCACCAACACATTGTCACCCTTGATATCGCGATGCACAATTTTCTGCTCATGCAAATACTTGAGACCTTCGAGTATTTGCTTCGAATAGAAAGCCATGGTGGACTCATTATCCTTGAGCGGACCCCATTTCTTTTCTAACAAATCAGAGAGCGAACCACCGGGCACTTGTTCCATGAAAATCTTAAAGAAGCCATCTTCTGATATGGAGCCCAAGTACTGACAAATATTTGAATAATATTATTATAATTTTTACTGCATAATAATAAAATATATAGCAATGTATTACCTGCACGATGTTACGGTGACGCAGTTGCGAATGCAGTTTGATTTCTTCGTGCAACGGTTGCACGTCCTGTGAGTTACGCTCTGGCACTTCCTTTATGGCAATACGTACTTGTGTGTGTTTGTCACGTGCTGCGTAGACGGTGCCGTAGGTGCCTTTCCCCAGTATTATTTTCCGATTTTGATCATCGTAATCGTATTCAAACTAAAGAATAAGTAAAAATATATTAATTTCAAGCTAAAAAAAATCTTAAGAGACTTAGAAGAAAATACACACCTCAATTTGTCGCACTTCATCCACGTCCAGATTAACAAACACCTCTTGATCCGATGCCATTTCCAGTATGAGCTCATAAAATTTTTGACGACATTCCGTGGAGGGAAAATATATTTGGAAATCGTCTGAGTTATGATGCACATAAAGGTATGCACAACGATCATCTCGTTTATACAAGCTCACAGACTTAATTTGCGAAGCATTGAAGACGAAATCATGCACCTTTTTACAAGCGTTCTTTGAGTGCGCCAAACAAATATTGATGATTTGTATTGATTTCTCATCAGCGTCCATATTAATGTTGACATAACTTGGCATGTATATTTTCTGTGGTTCCAAAATCTAAACGAACAAAAAATAAACAAAATATTAGTTATTTTCATTAGCAAGTAAAAACCGTTGAAAATGAAAGCTTACGAGTATCGGCATGCGCACGCTAGTAATCTCCTCCGTATTGGTCGCTACCATAAAAAAGTCTATCCAAAATTGAAATATTTGCTCTTCTATTGAGTAAATGTGATCCTCAGGTTTCTTGCGGAAGCGATGTATCAACGATATGTTACCAATTGTTGACTTGAGATACCAATTAGGTGGCTTTAATTTGAACATACACTCTGCTGCCTGTATCGCTTTCGCATAATCTTCAGCAAGCACGGAAATCTCAAAAAAAGTGGCCACATCCCAATATTCAGTCAGTGACGACAAGCTGCCCTTTTTACCAATGAGATTATTCAAGGTTATACCAATATTTTGCAACTCTTCTGTATTGCTAAATTCTTTTCCATCAATTACCAACAATGTAGCTAAGTTTATACCGGCATATTCATTCGGTTGTACATCAAAACTTTGCCGATACCATTTTATGGCATTCTTCAAACTATCTTTATCTTCATAATCGGATTCCACAAATATATCCTTATAAATTCGTCCGCATAGACACAACATATCGGGGAACTCGTTCTCTTTCCTTTCCAGTGCTTTCAGCGATGATGCCAGGGCTTTCTCGCGATCACCTTTGCGATTACGGCGATTCAGCGCGAACGCATACAGAAAACTCATATTTCCTGTCTCAACATATTTTCGTGTGTTTGGTATGTTTCTTAGATCGCTCACTAAGCGCACCATCGCATCGTAATCTTGTACATCGCGTAGTGAGCACATAAAACTGTGCACCACTTCACCAGATAGTACATGCACATCATCCAAACGCTTGCGCATATCATGAAGAAATTTTTGCAATTTCGGTGCATTTGCTCCATAAGCTTCACGCGCTGAACGCAGATCGGATAGAAATTTCTCACGCATATGCGCCCTGTATAAAAGAGAAATTATCTTGAAATATTATTATAAACATGTAATTTTATAATAAAATACTTGGATTGTATTTCCACATCCTGTAAAAGACGCTTCAAACGCGAAAGTAGTGTTGGCATTTTAGTATCTGCGGGCAGTTCCTTATTAAAGTTGGTTAAAAAACAGGTGGAAGTCTCTTCGTTACGTTTGTACGATAGAAATTGATAATTGGCACATGAAAGCTGAAAGAAAACCGAATAATAAGAAGTCAAGAAATAAAAAAAAAATTTGTGAAACATAATGAAATTGTATTTAACGTTTTATGCGCATAATACCGCGCAATTACCTATTTCGATAAAATTTTATATACCACTAAAATCGATTACAAAACAAATAGCGGAAGTGGCTTTACGCTATCGAATTAGCATAAAAGCCAACGAACCACAACCAGTTTGAAATAACTTAAATTTTTATATAAAAAAATGTATAATATCAATAACACTCGAATAATAAGCTGGGCTAGAAGTAGCGCAACCGGCAAAAATAAATGAAAAATTAAATTAAATAAAGTGAAAAAGCAGTAACCACATATACGTATAAATTTATAAAGTAAACAAACGCGGAGGAAGTAACAAAACAAAAATGCAAGCAAAACAAACTGTTCAAGTCATACGCACACACATGTGCAATCAAGAGTACACAAAACAAAAATTATAAAGCACCGCCGACGTCGCAAGAGCCCGAATTACGTGAACAACAACAAAATTAAAATGCGAGCAGAGATAACAAAAACAAAGACATAACGCGGCTAATATAACATTGGATTTAATTTTTTTATTCGTGTAGGTTTATTATAATACATTAAACATTAAAAACTTTTGTAAGAAAATACGGCAACTAAAGTAGCAACAATAAAAGAAAACATATACTGTTAGAAATGTGGCAAATATTACACAATTGTTGTGGTTTCACGTGTGATTTTTTATTGCTATTTTTATTTTCAATTGCTTGCTTTTAGTTCAATAACTGGTTGGCTAAGCCGAATATGTAGGCGTTCTGTAAGGTAGTGGGGGTTGTGAAGTATACAACAGTATTGTATATTAATCAAAAGGTGGAATGTGAACGCTTTTCATTGCTGTATATAAAACGGAAGTTGATTATACTATGTTTATATTTGTGGAAAATAGTTGCGTTCTATATTTACATCAAAATCATTGGCAACAGATGCTGTATCTAACTAATTTACGGCAACAAATGGACACTATGTTAACGAAAATGAGAGTAAATAAAAAATTAACGAGTAATAACAAACCAATGTTTTATTATTGTACATATGTATATGCATGCGAGTATATGAAAGCCGTATTATTTTTTAATAAATGCATCAAGTTACAGTTCATTTCATTAGAGTTTATTAGAAGCCCATTGTCAAAATTTAAAATTTTAGGTTATATATAGTCAGCGAAGCAATGAGAATAATTATCTTATCACAAGGTCTTAGTTAGTAACAAACAGAACAGTGGTATTTTTAATAAAAATTAAATTGATTTCTAGAAAAATAATGCCTTAGCACTTGTGGCTTAAACATTAACATTATTTACTCATATTCTATGATTTCATATATTAAGCTTACCTTAAGGCACAATGTTTGCTTGGACTGCATATCATTGTAGACAATTATATTCCCTTTCATACCGAAGCTTTCCCGTACGCCCAGATGATAGGAAAGTGAACGCTGTTGTACCAATATACTCAAATCAATTATGGCCACATCTGCATTATAGAAAGTTTCTAGCATATTTGTTTCGCCAAAATCGAGTTTATCGAACTATAGTGAAAAATTTAATAAATAAGTGGTATTAGAAATGGCAAAATTAATTGTACCAGCACGCGCTGAAAATTTGCGCCCACTGCTTGAATGGCTTGTTTCATTTCCTCCAGGGCGCATTTTCTGTCTTCCAGATATTCTGTTATTTGTGTATCAATCACTACAGCTACATCCATTTTGTAATACTTTTATATCTAATTTTTTAGTCGTCGGTCAACATAACACCCACGCAAATCCACAACTGTGCGTTACTAAAATTGCATAAATATCTTTGTTTTTATTACAGCCTTTCTCTTGGTAAAATAATTTTCGCGATAATCAGACTAAAATGTTAAAGGTAAAGACCTCACGGTGTTTCCAATTTTACAGTTACCGCTAATACACCTTAGCAATTTACACCAATAATAATGGGTCACACATTCCGTAGATACCGTGTGGGGTGCGGGAGCAGCCTCCTTTAGTTGTTATTGTAGCCACAGCTCTTCCGCCATCGGAATTCGCGTGTTCATTTAATTGGCGTTAGGGTTAAAACTGATTTGCACTTTGGTTTACTATAGGTGAACACTTGTTATGTTTCTCAACTTTACAATTACAAATAAACACAATTTCAATATGAACAATATATTTAAGTTCTTCACAAGCTAACGATAAACAGATAAATTTACAAACAAATAATAGAAAAGTAGCACTGTTGATCGCAATTTGCAAATTGGAAATTTTCGTGTCTCTGGCACAACTTTGAAATGTCAATTGGCAGCGTTCATAGCCCACCGATTCGCAACATTATCGATAAATATCAATAAATTTATCGCTGAAATAAATTCACCCAATTCACTTTTAAACAAGCACACATAAGTCATCGGTTAAAAAGCCGTTTTAGTAAAAGAGAAAGGAAGCAAACGTGGATAAATATTCGGAATATACGAGTATGTCAAAAATTTTAGTAAGAGAATTATATTGCAAAATCAATATTGGCACTTCAAAAAATTATACCTCTGGTAGAACAAACCATTTGCTTTAGAGCTGCCAAGTGCTATGCATTTTTTAAAGGATTCATAGTAACATGTAAAAATTATAGAAAAACAAATACTTAACATAACATTGCTATCATTTTTCACAGTAAGAAATTAACAAAAAAAAAATAATTAAATAATTTCTACAGACCTGAAAGACAGGTTTTTGGCATACCAAATTTCTTACACAGAAGCATTATAGTGGGAGAAATGCCCTACATATTCATTCATGTTATGCACTTTAAATATTAGTTTCATGAAAATTTCTCTCCCAACCATATCAAACGTTACGAGACCTTAAAAATTACAAATAGCCGATTGGCAGCTCTGCCAACACCCCGTGTGATATAGGCACTCAAAAAACGCCATTCAGAAATAAATGAGAATGTACCAGTGATTGAGTGAGCTTGGTACAAAAACAGAAACAGAAGCGGATAGAGAAGCGGACGTAGCACAACCGATTATTAATGTAACGGCAGCAGCTAAAAAAGTGTTTCATGTAGGAAAGATTAGTACAGAAGAAAAAGTGTAGTTTTTTCTCAAAGTTAAATTAAAAAGTGATAAGTTTATCAAAATTTCGAAAACCAGTGCTATACATAACCACAAAATATGCAAAATATTGCCCATTGAGGCAGTGTGCAAAGGAGAAGAGTGTTAAATCAGTGCTTGGCAAAGTGAAAGATACCTATAGTGAAAAAGGTCAAAGGAATCGGCAGAGTAAAAGTATAATACAAAAGCGCAAAAATGGGATTGAACGGCTGTTGTTCGTGTGTAAAATACTTGATGGTGCTGATAAACATCTTATTTTGGGTATGTACTACGTGGAGTTAACTCTATGGATACTGTAGGGTCTGAGTGGGTGGTGTTATGTATATTACGGCAATGGTTTGTGCTGTGGATTTACGAATATCCTATTAAATGAGAGTGAATATGTATGTATGTATATGAAGTTGTGCAAGTATGTATGCCCATCTATGGAATACGCGTGATGCTCTTCGAAAGATTCGAAAATCGGTTTATAGTATAAAATAAACTTTATAGAGATCCTAGACCAAGGAGAGAAGAGTACTAAAGAACTTGATTGTAGCATATGCACAAATATGTTTACAAATTTATATATATGGTTTACATATAGAAAATCATTCATAAATTCTGCTTATCTGCTGTTAATCCTTATAAACGCCATTGTCCTCTTTCGATTATGCCAAAATGTTTAACAACAAATATATTGAAGTTTTATTCAAGGTTTTTTTTACAAGTCTGCTGAAATTATTGGTATTTTGGGTGCCAAACGTGATTTTTTGGTTATATGCACCTTTGTTGAATTACGAAAAGCCATTCTTTCATATTTTTTGTTGCCAATTCATCAGCTCTTTTCTCTTACTTGCAAAGTTTTCTACGTAACTATTAGCAGTTGACACAATTGCCCTCTTTTGCAACAATAGATGTATGCATGTACATATGTATGCATGTGCACCTCCTTGCTCGTAATTGTAATTCTCGATACGGCATTTTCATCAGCCTGCAGGTATTATAGCCGCCCTATGTTGGGGTTCGATCTAAGTAGACGCTGCATTGCAATCACTGCATGCAGCATGCATAAGAACACACACGTGCGGATCTACATAAATACATAGGTATATATGTATGCATATACACAGCGATGGCTCACAACGCAAGCCCGTACAAAGTGTCATTGCTTCCGTTGCATTGCCGCTTGCTTACATTCATAACTCTGTACACATTGCCTTTTATACTTCTATGTATGCATCTATGTACTCGTATAATACATGCAGCAGTTGAACAATACTAGTTTCTTGATAGTACTACAAGTGAACGTCTGCTCCCCCACACTGCAACCGGAGTTGTAAATTGTCATTGACGTTGCGGTTGTTTGCCGCAATCCTTATATAATATAAGCGTATGTGTGAGTATGTGTACTTATGTATAGTTATTGTATATTCTTTTTGTGCTTTTGTTTCTTCATTATCTTTTTGCGTTTTATTGACTATAAACAAATTTCTTATCTCTTGTACAACAAATTTTGAATACTTTTACGCTCATACATACATACAGGTGTACAGGTTACTTCTATAAGATGTTGATTTCCATCACCTCTGATTTTGTTTTTTTATAACCCATTGCGAAAGGTAATTTGGTTAAAGCAAACCCCTTCGTCTTCTAAAGGTTTGTGGTATGTATATACATATGTATGTACTATATACGTACATAGTATATACGTACACATGAATTTGTTTGCTCTCTCTTTTACTAGCCTGTCAGCACAATAAATAGAGAGAAAACAACCAAATCAAGACTTGATGTATTGTATACGGAAACCACCATTCAATTCGAAGAGCTATAATTAGAACAGGAAGTTAAAAGTCAAAAGTATGAATACAACAAAAAGGATATGTGTGTTTATCGTATAGGGTTGGTAGACTGATTGCTTGCTGGAAACTATGTATACAAATGCAGGCTAAAAAGCTTTGATGTTCATTTATTAGGCAAATGTTTGCCTAAGCTGTTTATCGGGATTTTGAGGAACCAGGGTATTAAATCTTCTTCAAAAAAGACTTTTCCAAAGCAAATATATAAAAGTTCGGTCTCGAATTGAAAAATAAATTGTTTAGACAAAAGATCGTGTCATAAATTTAAGAAATATCGGCAAGGACTGGATCGATATTTAATAATTGATTTCTCACCCAACTTTCTTCACTTGAAATCAAATAATTTTTATTTATCCTGAAATTACTAGCACCTATTTCTATTTGATTGTCTTGATTTATAGTGGAGGGCAGTATATATTCATAAAATAATATCAGGGTAATATATTCGGGTGTGTGCATAAGTTTCGTCTGCCTTTAACCGCAATTCGTAGGCCAAATGTCGGTCATCGGTGGTAATATTCGAAGGCATAAAATCAAAAGCTATGCGGCGTGCTTGTAAGTATTTTCCTTTAAACAATAACAATGTTATAGTGTACGCATTTCGAAAACAAAAAAATCTTTTAATATAAACATATGCGTTCAGAAACATACATACATACTCATATGTATAGTTCGTGGTTTATAAAAAACAAATACTGATGCGCAGTCATCAGTATGCAGGGCGGGCTTTACTCCAGGGCAGCTATCAATTGTTACACATCTCTGATCTGCGCGGGCTTGTTTACATGCGTACAGTAGTGGAGAGAAAAAGAAGCATTATTTTAAAATACTATAATAAATACATTTTTTACGCAAATATGCAATTGTAAGAGTACTAAAAGATAAATAATTTTTATCCGTTACCAAGCGTTACTCTTAAGCGAATCGAACAAGCTATACCAAATGCTCAAGCAAACAGGCAGCACTTGTGGTGCAACAGCGTGTGTGGTGCAATAGTCTTAAAATTCTTTCTTAATGGAGAATTTATTTTTTTCGCATTAAAAAACGTAGCTGTAACCCTTTATTTTTGTTTACTATAAATTACTAAATTTATTTTAAGTCCGAAGTTTTAATTATACAATAACAAAAAGAAATTTGTATTTTCATTTGTCATTTGACCATTCACAATAGTAAAACTAATATAAAATATGTAAAACAAAATTTAGTCGCAGTGAAGATATCGACTATACCACATTAAAGAGGTATCCGCATACTCTCTTGCACGAATTCAACTCGGCTACTTTTTTGTTGCTTTTAATTGTCATTTTTTTGATAAGAGATCAGAAGCGAACAGAGAAATGGTGTATCGAAAACAGCTATTAAAAATTAATTAATTTAAACGGTTAACAATCTATATTGAAAATTATTTTATTACAAAATTTTAATTAGTTTTCATATTGCAACAATTTTTTACTGTAAATATGAAAAATAAATCATAATGTATTTTATTTCAATTATCTATATTTTATTATTATTATAACTATTTCAATTATCTTTATTTTATTATTATTATTATAATTATTATATTTTTTATTTTTATTATAATTATTAAATGTTTTTATTTATTTATTGCCTTAATTTTGCACAATGCTGTATAATTTGTTAACATACATATGTATATATAAGCATTTTTACATACATATGCAATGAAATTTTACATATTTACATATGGAATATGGGCGTATTCAGTATTCACATGGTGGCATCCACGCAAAACGCAAGTTGCCCCAGACTTTCAGCCTTAAGCAACTGGAAAGTATTTAGTAGCTGGTGGAACTACCGATGCGGCATGTCGCAAACAATACAAATGTAATCTGACCGAAACATAAAAAACCACACTTGAGCAAACAATTGTGCGAGTCTACTTTGGGCTACACACATACATACATATCTACTCAGGCGCAGACACATTTGGTAATTGCCTACGTTTCACTGGTTGTGCCCGCAGCAACTCTGCGGTCATTTGTAACTGTCGGAAGCCATTTGAAGTACCAGTCAGCTGGTAGTGTTGGCAACTGATCAGCGCCACTGGCTGCCTCATTTACTACACATACATACATGCAAACATTTTTTTTTAAGTATGTAAATATGTATATATTTCAATATGAATTAATTTGGTTTTTTATTATGTCACTCTTATAAGCCCCTTAACATAAGTATGTATGTGCTTTCCTCCCTTTGACTTACCGCGCCCATTTTACATCATCATCACACGCCTAGACTCACACTCAATTATGAAAATTACGGTTGCGACTGTATAAGTATGTGCGCGTCTCTCATTTAGTCATATGAGTATTTACTTGCCCACATCCGTACACACAATCATACAAGCATCTATGAAATCATTTATATGAATTTTCCAATTTTATTTTCTTAATTCATTCTAAGAGCTTCGTGCTTTTGCCGTAGGTTCCTGCCCATTCAATTCATCTCCTCACAAGTGTGCTGTGACGCGCGCGATTACCTACTATAGGCGAGTACTAGCCATAACATATGTACATATATACCTATTATTTATTTATATTATTAGTCAAGATCTATTTTCGAATATCAATACAATATGAATGCTTTGCTTTTCCTGTTGTATTATATGTATGAGCAAATTCAACACACATATGTATCTGTTTGTATGTACGTATGTCGAGTTGTTTTTATTGTTGCATTAGTTGCGCATTCATAACGCATCATAGCATATAGAGAAGACCTCCTACATATAAACAAATGTACTGTATAGCATATTTGCCAATATATTTGCTGTTGCGACATGAATTTGTGTTTCAACATGTATACATACATACATACATACAAACCTACATGTATACATATATAGTTCCTTTTGAGATTTTCACGCTAACGCAATTTTGTAAAGCGTCAAAGCAACAATGCCAACGAAAGTTAACAACAGAAGAAGCACTTATTTATATTTAAGCAATAACAATAACAAGTGCCAAAAATAACAAATTAGCTACAATACAATACAACACATATATCTAAACAACCAGCTGTTGGCAAATCAAAAAATTATTAAATAATTAAATTTTCATTTTTATTAACGGTTGCCACTAAATGCCGAAAGTATGAATGTATGCTTGTCTGTATGTGTGTTATATTCTAAAATAAACCTACAATGTCATTAGCACATTAACAAACATTTAATTCAGCCAGCGGTTCTTAAACATTTCCTATTGCACTGCGATTGGAAGCTTTTTATGGAATTCGGAAAACATTTTATAATAAAATGGTCTATTTATGACTGTTACGTGGTCTTTTGGTTTACTTAAATATAATATATTGAGCAAATTTGCTAAAACATGCATTTTTCTTCGATAAATTTTGCTTTACTAACAGAGTGGAGCGTAAAAGGTCCATTGAACTATTAGC